TGCAGAGAAAACAATGTGTAACAAACAATTTGAATTTTGTTTCAAAATCGATGCTTCTCTAATAACATTCGCCACTTTCGTAGCGAAGACTTTAGTAAGAAAAAAATAAATAAAAGTACATTTATTTTTCTTTGGTGGACTTTTTCGCTTCGCTTCTTCAATGTTTAAAGAAATAATCAGCGGCAGTGTTACTATGCTGAAAATGTTTGTTTCAACGTACCGAATGCATATGGTTTATCGAGAAAAAAACAAATCATTTTATTCCTGCACGTCACCAACCATGTAGCCTGTTTTCTTAACAATAATGTTGCAGATTTGCGCAATTACGGTCACAATTCTATCACACTTCGATTGCAATCGAACACATGGGCAATGTGTAAACAGGAAAAAAAAGGAGAAAGTGCACTTTTATTTTTCTCGGGATAGAAAATTACCGTTATGAAAGCAGCGAGTGTTATTAGAACATATAATATTTGGAAGGAGTCCTTTAGTCGCTTGATAGAGAATGTTTTTTTTCTCTCTTCACGACTAGAAAAAAAACAAAAGCACAAACATTGATATCCATGAGTACGGCAAGAAAGAAACACCACCATAGTGCATGCGAACTTGGTAAAAGAATAGACGGCTGTTTGAATAGTTTTATTTAGTCTTGCTATTGACGTTCTGTACTAAGATATATTTGGAAAAAAATGAGACTTATCGAATGTACGTACCGGTACAACAATTTTTATGAAAATCTCTGGTTTTGGTGTGCTTTCAAGAAATAAACATTTCATCGTATCGTGTATTCTCGTCTCTATTGAGTGATGATAGGTGCACAAAAACTGATATTTACAGAAAAGTGACAGTAGCCTGAAGGCTATCTAGTAATATTATTGTAATACTTTTAACTTTTAACTGCTAAATAGTATTGAAGCGGCTTGATCAATTTTTTGAACCGATAGAATGTGTGATATCAATTCTAACGATAGATTCTGTACAAAATATTTTGTACAACAATTTTGCTCGACAATTGAAGTGATGCTCTGCAAATATTATGACTGCAAGAGAAGAAAAAGAAGAAGAAGAAGAAGAAGAAGAAGACGACGAAGAAGAACAAGAAGACGAAGAAAAAAAAGAAAAATCTGTTGCCACTACCTCTGCTACCCATGATCGATTATTTCCTTCAAGAAATTTCGACGTAAAAGTTTATATTCATGATGTCGTCAATGCAAGAGTATACACAACGGCGAAATTTTGTATAGGAGAGAATAACAAGTTCACTATGGATACATCATACTCGCTAGAGATTTTCTTTTTTCTTTTCTATTACGACATTTATAATGCACATCAGTAGAAGAGTATAAAACACGCAGTATGCGTCTTTTTCTATAGGGCAGTCTTTTCGAACAAGAAATTTTATCGCACCGAAGTCGTCATAAAAAGTCTAGAAATGACGTTTCGATTTCAAAATAATACTGTTTTTTTTCTATTTTACCCTTTTCAACTTCGATTTTTTATTCTTTTAAAATTTTCTTTTGCCATACCAATTTATAGATTAACTATCATCTACTTCGCTCGTTTTATCTTCAACATAAATAACAATAAATATGCGTGAAATTGTTCATATGCAAGCTGGCCAATGCGGCAACCAAATTGGCGCTAAAGTAAGTTAACATATTTTAAATCGAACAATGTTTTAACAAAAACCTTCATATGTTTCTAGTTTTGGGAAGTCATTTCGGACGAACACGGTATTGATCCCACTGGTACGTATCATGGTGATTCCGACCTTCAACTTGAACGTATCAATGTCTACTATAATGAAGCAGCTGGTGAGTAGAAGATAACAACAAAACAAGGACGCCTATATTTTTTTTCTCTTGTTTCAGGTGGTAAATATGTACCACGTGCTGTTCTTGTCGATCTTGAACCAGGAACAATGGATTCAGTACGCAGTGGCCCATTTGGTCAGCTCTTTCGCCCGGACAACTTCGTCTTCGGTAAAAAAAATATGTTTTTAATCTAATTTTGCTCATATCTCTTGTGGCCACATTAGGACAATCGGGTGCTGGTAATAATTGGGCCAAAGGTCATTACACAGAAGGTGCAGAATTAGTCGATTCAGTTTTGGACGTCGTACGAAAAGAGTCTGAATCATGCGATTGTCTTCAAGGATTTCAACTAACGCATTCGCTCGGTGGTGGTACAGGTTCGGGCATGGGTACATTACTTATTTCAAAAATCCGAGAAGAATATCCGGATCGTAAGTTCATTTTTGAGAGTAACATTGAAATTTTTATCTTTCTCCTTGTCTTTTAGGTATCATGATGACATTCAGTGTTGTCCCATCACCAAAAGTATCTGATACCGTTGTCGAACCGTACAATGCAACATTATCCATACATCAGCTAGTCGAAAATACAGATGAAACATACTGTATTGACAACGAAGCATTGTATGATATTTGCTTTCGTACACTTAAACTTACGACACCCACATATGGTGATCTTAATCATCTCGTTTCGGCTACAATGTCAGGCATAACAACTTGTCTCCGATTTCCTGGTAAGTTTTTTCTTGACATTGCAGACTCGTATTTTATTTTCTATGATTTTAACCATTTTCTAGGTCAACTTAATGCTGATCTTCGAAAATTGGCTGTCAATATGGTACCATTTCCACGTCTTCACTTTTTCATGCCAGGATTTGCACCATTAACATCACGTGGCTCTCAACAATACCGTGCATTGACTGTACCTGAACTTACACAACAAATGTTCGACGCAAAAAATATGATGGCTGCATGTGACCCACGTCATGGCCGATATTTAACAGTGGCTGCTATCTTTCGAGGTCGTATGTCAATGAAAGAAGTCGATGAACAAATGTTAAATGTTCAAAATAAAAATTCATCTTATTTTGTCGAATGGATTCCAAATAATATCAAGACAGCTGTTTGTGATATTCCACCGCGTGGATTGAAAATGTCGGCAACGTTTATCGGTAAAGATGCAACAAAAAAAATATTTTTTTAGCTTTTTATGGTAATGTCTTATTTTAGGTAATAGCACGGCAATTCAAGAATTGTTCAAACGTATTTCGGAACAATTTACTGCTATGTTCCGTCGTAAAGCATTTCTTCATTGGTACACTGGTGAAGGCATGGACGAAATGGTGAGTTACATTATAGTATTTGTTATTTCTCATCCTTTTTGTTTTCGATTTCATAGGAATTTACTGAAGCTGAGTCAAATATGAACGATCTTGTCAGTGAATATCAGCAATATCAAGATGCCACTGCTGAAGGTCAGTACATTTATTGTTGTATTCTATCAATATTTTAACTATATTCTCTATTTTTCTTGCAGAGGAGGGTGAAGGTGGTGAACAAGAAGAGGAAGAACACGCATAAACGACGACAACAATCAACATTCCAAACTTCGTTTCATGTTTTTCGATAACAATATTCAAAATATCCATGTTTCTTTTTCGCTACAATGTCCTCTCCTTTTTTGGTTCGTCATGCATAAATGATTTTAGAACCACAACTATTATTTTCTTCATAAAGTTTCGTTTGCATTTATAACTGTTAACTACAGTCCAGCATGATCACGATATTTGGTCATTGTCACGGTTACCGCCGTTGCAGCTATCCACTTCTGTCTTCATTCACAGGAAGTCGAGAACAGATGGTGACAATATAAAAGCGAAGGTATGTCCAAGCATTTGCACATGTTCGAAAACGTGTAAAAATCAATTGTCAAGTCAGGCGAAGAAAAACTGTAAAAACTCGTATAAATATCACAAACATACTTAATTTTGGATGTCATAACGACCGAGTATTGGTCCACTGCAAACTAACAGTAAATTTATGCGTTCTAGTTGTCGATCTGAAGTGATCTATACCATCATTGGGACAATAATAATCTTGTCTATTGAATAGGAACCATGGTTTCCGAGGCCAAATAAATTCGGTTCTATTACTGATTTCTTAAATTTTTCGAGTTTGACCTTGTCACACTATGGGCGCGGCCTGCTATTTTCATTTTCACACGCACACACCCTCAAGATGTTGTTGTGAGACATCATCTTTTAGACTTGGGTTGAGTTGCAAAAACATTTTTGATTTGATTCATAGATCGTTAAAATCAATTGACTTATTTCCCTTCAAATAGAACTACCACTTACATTCACAAGCATTATCCAAGGGAGAGCATAGTTTACGTGTATGTGCCTTCTTGCAGATTAAAATTTCTCAGCAAAAATCTCAATCACTTTTATGACGATATCCATGACATAATACGAATCATATTTTTCAGATCGCGATTATTTCTCACAATAAGCAGGTCAAACTCCAGAGCTATGGCTGAAGTAAAACGATGCTAACGATATGTCACAAATACTAATACGTATTGGTTTTATTGGTGGTGGAGCAAAAAATTAAATTTAACATACAAAGAAATGGAAGATACGTTTACACGTAAAATGCAACTCGAAGATATGTGATCTTACCTTATTTTTCTGGGCATGGCATAGAATTGAGGGTATTGAGATTAAATTCCAGGTAAATAATAGAACTTTGAATTGAGTTAGTTTTGTATGACAAATTTGTTAAGGTACACGTGTGTACGTAGAAATCTTTGCTTTTTTTTTATTATAGCTCGAATATCGGTGTAAATTTAATCAGTATAATTTTAAAAAAATACTAATAATTCTCTCCTTTACTTTCATTTGAATCAATTAAATAAGCGTTCTACTTCAAACTATCATTGACTTTTAGGAACGGCATGGAAAATCATTCATCTGAACAATCTTCAATAGTGAACATTAACTTGGTCTTACAACGGTTTTCTTTTTGTATTAAGTACTTATCTTAAATTAATATTAATATTTTTCTTATCGAATGCTGAAGCATTTTGTGTGTGCGTATATATAGATAAAAAGATGGGAGAGAGAAGTGAAAAAACAGAATTAACCCATTCGATTCGAAAATCGAATCTGAAAAATTAAATTTCATTTTAACGATGTCTGTCATCTAGTGCAATCAATTTGTGTAGTTCTGCACTTTTCAAAGCCATACCACCACGAGATCCACCAGTAACTAACACTTTTTCATTCGTTAATACAGATGCTGCGTGCTCACCCCGTGCATCATTCATGTTACCGATAGTTGTCCAGAGTTCGGTTGATGGATCATATATTTCAGCACTGTTTAGCGCACTGTGATCAAATCCACCAGTAACTAACACCTTTCCATTTTTTAAAACGGATGCTGTGTGTTTCCATCGCGCATGATTCATACTACCAGTGATTGTCCATGTTTGTGTCGACGGGTCATATAATTCAGCGCTATTTAAACTATAACTATAATTTGATCCACCGGCAACTAATACTTTTCCATTCATTAATACGGATGCTGTGTGTTCGCTTCGTGCGCTTTTCATGCTACTAGTAGTTGTCCAAGTTTCTGTTGGTGGATCATACAATTCAGCACCAGCTAGAGGATCACGACTAACATGTCCACCGGTTACTAAAACATTTCCGTTTGCTAATACGGATGATGTGTGTTCACTGCGAGTATTATTCATACTGCCAGTAGTTGTCCAAGTTTCTGTCGATGGATCATATAGCTCAGCACTATTCAACCAATGGCCATCGCCATATCCACCAGTAACTAACACTTTTCCATCTGGTAATATGGAAGTTATATGTTCACCTCGCGCATTAGTCATGCTACCAGTAGTTGTCCAAGTCTCTGTGGATGGATCATATAACTCACTACTATTTAGAAAATCGTGACTAGCAAGTCCACCAGTAATTAACACTTTTCCATTCATTAGTGTCGATGCTGTATGTTCACCTCGTGCATCATTCATGCTAGCAATAGTCGTCCAAGTTTCTGTTGATGGATCATACAATTCTGCGTTACTTATAGCACCATTGTCAAACCCACCGGCCACTAAGACTTTCCCATTTATTAATACCGTTGCTGTGTGTGACCGTCGCGTATGATTCATACTACTGGTTTTAGACCATTCTAGATGGAAAAATTTGCATATTAATTATGGAACCCTCTGCTAGATCGCTGAATTACGCGAGTATACTTTTATATTTTTCAAAATGAAATCTGTTCAATAATTGAAATACAAAGTTTTTAGATTTCTTTATTATTTTAGCAGGCAAACGATGAGTTCAAAAGCTTTATCTCTATAAGCAATTCGAAATGGAAAAATAATGGATCAAAGTCTTATGTTCGAATGATTATAATAATTTTAGAGGTACTTTTCGCTATTATTTCTTGCTTTAAACAAGAATCATCTTTCTATGATGAGAGGGTAAATGCTGGAAGTTCTTCGTTTGCATTTCTTACTCTTTTTCATTGGTGAGATTGGTGGACACAGAGCTGGAAGCGCCATGTTCGCTGGATAACACAATGGAGTACTGTGGCATCGTGAATGGTTCACACATAGATGACCAGGTCGATAGCATGTTCGGTTATTGTTTGCACAGGAAATCAATTCAGAACATTTGACATACAGGGAAGCACAGATACCATCGTTGTTAGTATTCATTAGAGGAAGACAGCTACAGGCTTCGTTCGTCGAGCATGGATCATATGGAGCAGCGTCTTGGCATATTTGAGCTTCTGGTCGCACTAAAGTACAAAGGAATCGTCGACAGGTGCAAACATACAGAATAGAAAACATGCTTAGAAAGCTAAAAGCAGCTACCAGATCATATTATTCTATGAACATTGAATGATACTCAGAAATCACAACGTTTTTATTTGTATTTATCCGTCTACTTCTTTTCTTTTCCTTTTCTAAGTATTTCTCTGTGAATAGGGAAGAATGGAGTTACAAACTGCACATATGAAAGCAAAAAAAGACTTGTTGAGGAAAACAATCAAATCAAATAATTGCATAGTTACCTGTCGATGTTGGAGTACACGGATGGTTATCGATGATACGAAAAAGTTGTATACGATGATTCCAAGTGTCACTCACGTAGAGATTGCCTTCGCTATCGAATGTCAAATCATTGGGTGTGTTAAATTGATTTTCTGCACCACCAGAACCTTGTGTGAGAAAATTTAAATTCAATTATATCTCGATATTCATTTTCACATTTTATTTTAAAATCTAAGCTATCATGTACATACCAAATCCGCCAGCAATTGTATCTCCCTTTGATGCATCGGGCAGCCATCGTTCAACTCTGTTGTTCAATGTATCCGCTACATAGACCACATTTGTTTCTTCGTCGACCCATACACCAGTCGGATCAGCCAACGATCCAACATCTGTCCCTGGACTATCAGTTTTCGATCCAGCTACAGTGATAGCCTCTAGTGAATCTTTCATCAATTTTTGAATCCGATTATTATGGGAGTCGGCCACATAGAATATACCGCTGGTTTGATCGATATAGATCGCTTCAGGATTGCTGAGCTGTTCACTTGATGATCCTCTTTCATCGGTTTGTCCAGCGACAATTGTTGTTGTATTTGTTCGAGGTGACCATTTGAGCACCCGATGTCTATCCGATTCTGACATGTAGACATTTTTTTCTCTGTCAACCGATACACCCGAACACGAGCGACATTCATCACCGATTTGAATACCGTGTGTTGCTCCTTTCGTCCACTTTTCTACTCGATTACCGACAAACACAGCAATGTAAATTGTCGGTCCAGTATCATCATCATCATCGTCGTCAACATAGATTTTATTAGGTTCGACCACTTTGAACACTGCAGTGGTGCCACCAGTTGATGGTTGATTAAGTGAAAACATTTGAACGCGAGTATTACCCAAATCGGCTACATACAAGGTGTTGCTTTTTCTATGAAAAAATATTCCATGGGGAAGTGTGAGCTCTGCCGACGAGTTTCCAACTGTGGCAGTACCAGCCACTGTAATGCCATTGCTACTCCACTTTGCACAAGGACTTATTTTCGCTGACCCCAAAGGCAAGAGAGAGAAGAACACGATGACAACTAGAATAGATGAGCATCGATCACTATAAACGACTGCGAGTGCTCTCACTCATTCACTTACAATTGTATATATGATGTTTCTGCATCTTTGACGATGATAACTTTGATTCGAAAGAGAAAGTAAGAGAGTACTTATCACAAGTCGAAGAGATAAGGTACATCTGTGTTTATTACATATGCAACAGAAATACGCACATTTTTTACCTCTTCTCACACGATCCATGGCGAAATATACAAAGTAATGCTTAGTAAAAATGAGCTGTGTGAAAGATACTATATTGGCTTCATCATCTCAAAATCTGCAATATTATCATATCTTGCAAGTCAAAATAATCCAGTTTCTAATTAACAAAGAATATTCTACTAATATCTAAGTAGATATGCATTGATGTCAAATAATTAAATGAGGTACAAAGAAAAGTGTGATTTTCAATGTCTTTTTTATTTTCAAAAGATGAAAATAATAAAATATATATCGTTGATACCTGATATTCGTTGAATTCAAAACTCCTATGTTCTTGTCAGAATCTATCACATGTATGCTGGTGGCATTGTAATATTATTTCAGCCAATAAGCATCAATGATAGTCTTCTGATCGATCGGTTCCTACTCATAGAAAAAGATCGCGAAAAGAAGCATTCGATTTGAGTAATGGGGTATTTTATGCTTTTTATTAATTATTTATAATGCAGTTAACAAAGGATAGACTTCATTTTCCTGCTCGAATCCAACTTTCAATGGCTGGGAGATGGCTTTGCCAAACAAGACACAGAAGAAGGCAAGTGCACTTAGAATGAGGAAAACCACCACGACTAACAGTTGATACTGTAGATCCAATGAACCAGCGTAAGAGTAGGCAATCGCCGATGCTATGCCCTAAAATGCAACGCATATAAAAATATGGTAAATAGACAATCGGTACTTGAACGAGCTGAAAAAGAGCGAACGCCGAAGCACTCGAATGCTTAAATTGACTAGCCAGTACAGTGAACAGCTAAAACAAACCACTTATCATTGGAATCCAGCTGAAAATACCGAACAGCATACCTGTGTATTTAAAGCACTGTCTCCAAGTCCGACTATAAAAGAACCGACAAAAGCAATAACTTGACTTGTTGATGAACTGGCAAAAGGAAAAGAAACTCGTGACTAATTTTCACGGATGCATCATGCCTAACCTAAATTGAAAGTATGATTCAGCATTGGTTTCATTTGCAGGTGCATCAGCAGGAAAATTGATCCAGGCCGAATAGTAGAAAATAATTTGTAGAAAAAATCCGATCAAGATGACCAAAGCACACTGAGATGATGTTTTCGGTTTGGTAATAAATCCAAACAATCCACCGCCTAATAATTTTTCTACAACAATAAATCATTTGCGAACAACAAGTCAAACTGGCCTATTATTTCGCCAACACCCACAAGTACGCCATGTAAACCAATGAGTCGTTTTCGAGTTGCTATAAAAGTTAATCTCATTTTTGAAGCTATGAATAAAAATGACTTAATTACTTCCATATTTGATTGTATGTCCAATGCAAGTAGCATAGACCGTTTGAAAGAATGTTTGTGAAAAACCTTTATGTAGAAAGTGTAATGAGAAATGTACCACGTGCATTTCTAGTTATGTTCAATTAGGATTTGTATTAGGATAAATGGCTATCGTGCAAGACTGTTTTTAGCGTCGGCAATTACGCATTTAACAAGGGCTTTTACACGTGATATAACTCCTATAAAAAAAGTCTTTATACAGAATATTTGCTGTAGTCGATTTCTGTATTTTGTACGAAGATTTTTTTACACAAGGATTATATGCCTTCAAGTAGGTACGAATACTTGTCTAATGTGTCAAAAATGCCATGATAATAGCTTTCAAATATCAAGAAATTCATCTCATACCTGTATAGGCGAATGGAATTAATAGAAGAAGCATATTTCGTGTTTTTAAGAGCCTTAGAGCGATCTTAAACGTTTCAATGACATCACTGAGCGCTGTTTTTTGTTCAATAGGATCTGATTGTAATTTTTGTCCACGTCGTTCGATTAACCATCGCCAAATAATACATGCATATATCACCAAACCCACGGCACATACCACTGAAAAGACGAAAAATAGTGGATATCGAGTTGTTCGCGTGATGGCATCGGCTTTGAGCGACAGATAAACGTAGAGATTACCGCCAAGAAGACTGATAAAAACAGAGTACAAACAAAATAGATTGACACGAAAAGATACATGATAATAACAGATCGACTTCCTCGGTTCAGTCTTACAGGAGTAGAACCCGAACTAAATTGTGAGATGTTACAGGACTGCCATTACCTTTTAAGTAATGAAAGTGATTTTATTTTAGGCTTTGAAAGATTTGATATCCAAACTCTTGGAAGTTTTTTCATGAGAGCTATGACTGAAGCACAAGACAAGTTAGAAATTTCACAGGGAATAAACCATCTTCCTACTGAAATATAAAATAAACTGAAGCGAATTTATGTTTTTTCCAAAAGATCCATTAAATGTATTAGAAAATCATGTAACAAGATTTACCTGCATTGAAACAATGCCCAAAAGACACCAGTATTCCGACTGGTGGTGTGTTCATCAGAATTAGCTGCCAGGTAAGCACCTTCTGCCGTCCAAAGTATAGCTGCACCGACACCAAGTAAAACCGAGGTAAGATAGAATGACCAGATCATTGGTGATAGAAACGAAAGAACATACAAGCTATGAATGATATTAAGTTCAACACATTAAAATACCTATAGTAGACACTTACAAATAAGCGGATGCACCAATGAACATAGATACAGGTGCTCCAAAGATGAAGACAAATGCCGGAGCCAAGATATTAGCTATCGTTGCGCACGCGTAGACAATAGCAAGGCTAACAATATTGAAAATATGTTAAATGATTACCCTAAAAGTCTTGTTTCAAAAAATGGTTACTTGTCATTTTAAACGTTAGAAAATAAAAAAAAAGTACATCGTTTTATCTTTGGAATCATTACAAAATCTCGCTCTATTTAGTATGTTTTCTTCTTATAGAAGGCAATTTAATTGATATCCAATAGCGACTTAAAACAAGCCACACATATTGAGGAAATCTTATGTAGCATACGTCAATATTCACTCACCTAATATATCCACTGCCTTGAAAATCAGTCCCGTTCAGTGTTTCATTCTTGACTCCTTCAAGTACACTTTGCTACTAGTGATTATAGGAGATATAAATTTATCAGTCAATCTGTATGATTTTAGTCTTACTTCGACCAAACCGGTGGCCTGAAATGCTGTGAACAAGACCATGAAGGCTGCGCCAAGCAATAGAATATTGATTAGACTACGATTACTATTCATTTGAGCTACACCAACAACCTCAGAATTAAAATGTAACCGGCAAGTCTCTACAAAAATTAATCATGTGAGTGAAGATAAGAACAAAACAAAAGGAAATCTCTTATCAAATGGAGTGTGGGTATTCTGCTAAACAACATCAACACCCTTAAATATCGTATTTAAATCATTTTGATGATCTGGAAGCCATACTATTTAGGCTACTACTGAAGAGATATAAAATTGACAGTGCACCGCTAGCTTCGTAATATGTAAATGATAATCAGATAGTTTTATTGAACTAATTAAGTGTATATTTCATTTTTACGCTTAGTTATGAGGAACTCATTTAAAAATTCTTCAATCAATAGTATTCACTAAGAAATGCAAGAATCAGATTTACAATCATAATGAGTCGTTTTCCTTCAAGTTTTTGTTATTATTCTTCATTTTTCTCTTTTTTTTACAGTCATATGTTTACATTCCTTGATGCTTTATTTTCTCGCTTAAGTGGTAATTAGATTCTTAATAAAAAGAACGTCGATAAGTGAAAAGGGATTCTCCAATATTTGGTACCGTGGCCGGCTTCTTTTTGTAATTCGCCAAAAGAAAGTAAACCATTCTAATAATTCGTTTACATCACCATCAGTGTTCTCGAATTCAAGCAATAACAAACGTTAACCACAGACAAATAATATGTCGCAACTTATTAATCAATCGGACTCATTTTTTTTTGACTGCGTTTATATGTATCATTATACAGTTGTCTCGTGTTTACGTGTAGCAGTTGCGGAGAAAATCCGGCTGTAATGCGACACATTCACTTGTGGGTGTGGGTGTCAGCATGAATCGAAAGAAAACGCATACCCAAGTTTCGCAGTCTTGCTTTTATTTTTATTTACAGTGCTAATACGTTTCGACATCGTACACTGCCTAATGCACCTTCTAGGCAGTGCTACCACACAATCTCAAGCTTTCGTATCAATATTCCTTGTCAATACAATTCTCACTATATGTTCGCAACATCTCAAGCATTTATTGAAACAATTCGTAAACTGGAATTAGTGAGTGGTATCCCATGCTCATGATTATGAATCGTATTTTCTGCGTTCAATTATGTTTTCGCCTGTCAAAATTAGTGATCATGGTCGATATTCTTCCCGAAAAATTTTCATCATTTTTTTCTCCTTCGTTAGCCATGCGTGCTCTTCGTATGCGTTCTTCAAAACAAATGCATTACAGATAGATGGTGCAAACGCAAACACTTTAAAGCATGCCACAACAATCGTACAGCATGTTAATACAGCTGCAGCTCTGTTATCTCAACCGAATAATAAGAACAGAAACAGTACATCATTTTTTGAAACTATTTGATAATGAGAATACGTTACTGTAAGACAAAAGAAAAAGAAATAATAGGTGCACATTTCTCGCGCTTCTATATGAATGATCTACTATCAATTATATTTTAATTAAATCAGACGCATATCGACACATTACTTGTACAGTGTGAGTTTTATTGAAGGGCGGAGAACAGCAAAACCCACAATCCATGAGGCAACTTACGAAGGAAGCACAGTTTTGCGCTATCATCCTCACCTGTAAAATTTATTATGTTAAAACACAGAGCATAACGATACTTATCGTGCTGGAGATAATATTATATACTTATCTTTTGTTACTTTTATTAGTGATATACAAATATAAAGTTGGTTTGAACAACAGTTCGTTATTTTTTCCAATTTTAAGTTTATTGAGAAGTATATTATGCATTACAGCCAATTGTACGCTGAGAATGTTACTGTAAATAATAGTCCACCCAAATGGTGGAGCGACCGGCGGGTTAAAATCATTGGCATATCTTTCATCGTTTTATCGATTCTTGTAGTCTATCTCGCTCTGGTTTTAAAATTCTATATTTTTACACCGAAGAAGTCAGAAACCACTATCACCACTGCTACCGTCACAACAACATCAAGATCAACAATAACGACTACCACTACTCCACAGTCAGGTAAAGTTTGGAGTAACATTTCTTAACCTTCCTAAATGCTACTGTTAAATCATGAGTGATTCACTCTTGATGATAAGAGAAAAAATGAAAAAAATGGTAATGTTCATGTTGATGACTTTTCGTCACTTTCGCGGTTTATTTCGTTTTACAAAGTGAGATTGAGATCTAGTAAATCTTTAAGACTCCCCAAGACCCAGCATCGTTGAAATGAGATTCTATAGAAATGCATCAAATTATAAGGGCACTTCAAGATCCACTGTATCTCAATGAAAATAATCTTAAAATCCGGTCTCCTAAATTCACTGAAAATTTTTTCTTTTGACTAGTTCATTCATAGATTTGGCTACTAGTATCGAAGAGCACTGTTATTTAGTTTCTCGAAGTGTGTAAACATTTACCATCGATTGATATAAAACTACTAAACAATTAATTAATTATGATCAAATACTTTGGGGGAATTCGAGAATACATGTCAGATGAAATTTTTTTGAAAAACATGGTGTTTTTTATTGCCATGTGCTAGTCATTTTTTTCCTAATTTTGTTATTTTTCCGTAAAATAGTATTTAGTCGAAGAAAAAAACTTTACTTAATTCTTCCCAACACGGAGCCTTGATTAGTATGCTTTTAAGAAAAAATTAACTTTCTCTTCTATTTCTTTTTTGGTTAGAAACAAAAACGGTAGTGAGCAGAGTTTTCCCCTCGTTTAAAGCACAACATTTCAGAGTGCCTTAATGCACTAGTAACCTGAAACGTGTGGAGATTTCTTTAAAGATTTCTTAAATTTGTTCTTGAATAAAGTACTTGAGATAGGTTCGACAACGATTGTTACTTACGCATAATTGCTTATTGAAAAACAAAAGCAAAAGACTTACTTCTATCCAACTAGCCCCTGAGATCGTATGAAATGGTGTGAATTTCACTCAGAGCAATATGCCACTTTCAGAAAACAAGGCAGTCCCATGTAGATAGGCAACAGCGGCCATAACCGGTCTAGTCGGTAACCTTTCTGCTGGTACCCGTTTCAATGATGACAGTTTCTTATCGTTATAAACTAGCGATAGTGAAGCAATGATTTACCGTCACTACTTCACTCGTTATTCTGTTTGTTTTGCTTGTTCTTTCTACTTGACAAGTAAATCAACTTATCTTGCATGCACTTTATTTCAATATCGGTCATCCGATAGGATAAAATTCATTTTAGCACTGATTACTTGTTCTCAAGGGTTTTGGCGATTACCGAAGTCATCTCCGAATTCTATTGGGAAAACAATTATTGTAAAAGTAATACCTTTCGGATTCGAGTCAGGCTGGCCTAAAGTTAAATCGGATCCAGCGATTTTAAACAGTGTCTAAATCACTTGGATGAAGGCGGGTAAGGATGATAGTGAAATAATTTCAATCATATTTTTTTCTTTTAAGATCCTAGTTGTACTTAATCGAAATAATCGTTCAAATAGTGATAACTTTGATTTTTTGCTTTATTATAGTCGATTCCTAACGGATCAAAGTCAAACGATTTTCATCCATCATAAAAAATACTTGCAATGATTCTTTACACTTGTGAAACGGAATGGATCAGTAAAGAAATCGTGTCTCGTTGAAGGAATAACCTTACACTTTTTAAATTAGAGATTAGGGAGATTATGCGACTGGAAAACACATAATGGAGCCGTATCCAGTGGTAGTTTCTCTTCATACTTTCTTCATCTGAAGAGTTTGATTGTGACAACTTTAATCGATAGTAGAAGCGTTTATTAAATCGTCTAAATAATGTAACGACAAGTAAAAAATTCAAACTTAATTTATCTGTCATCCACATATATGATTCTTTATCAAAAATACGAAGACTACTGCGTTGTATCGTTTCAAAATATTTTTACTTTTTCATAGTAGTATTTATGCAAAAGTATAGAATTGAAGGAAGGTTCGATCACCACCTGATAATCAATTGCACTTGATAATAGATTAGAGAAGTGAGAATCAATAGTACTTTTTTTAAGACCACACGTACTGAGGTACCACAAAATGAAGTAACTGAATATGTTGCGAGAAAAATAAGTTTTCTAAAAGGGTCGGCTCTGACAGTCAAATTTTTTCATTTAGATTGGTCTAAAACTGGCAGTCTGAATCATGCACGACGAACACACACAGCATCCGTATTGGCGAATGGAAAAGTATTAGTTACTGGTGGACTTAACAATCAGGGTTTTCTAAATAGTACTGAATTATACGATCCATCAACAGAAACTTGGACAATCACTGGCAACATGAACAATGCACGTGCTGAACATACAGCATGTGTATTAACAAATGGAAAAGTGTTAGTTACTGGTGGACTTAGTAATCAGGGTGTTCTAAATAGTACTGAATTATATGACCCATCAACAGAAACTTGGGCAACTACTGGTAGTATGAGTGATGCACGAACTGAACACACCGCATCCGTTTTGGCGAATGGAAAGGTTTTAGTCACTGGTGGGCGCATTAATCAGGATTTTCTAAATAGTACTGAATTATACGATCCATTAACAGAAACTTGGACGACTACCGGTACTATGAATGATGCACGAGCTGAACACATAGTATCCGTATTAACGAATGGAAAAGTATTAGTTGCCGGTGGATCCATTGGTGTTAATCGTTTACTTAGCGGTGAATTGTATGACCCATCAACAGAGACTTGGGCAACTACTGGTAGCATGAATTATACACGAATTCAATTCACAGCATCTGTATTAACGAATGGAAAGGTATTGGTTGCTGGTGGGTCGAATTATAATTTTAATCGAGACACTGTTGAATTGTATGATTCATCAACAGGAACGTGGGCAATGACTGGTAGCATGAATTATAGGCGGTGGAAACACACATCATCCGTATTAACGAATGGAAACGTATTAGTTACTGGTGGATTTGACCATTATCCTATAGATACTGCTGAATTGTATAGCCCATCAACAGAAACTTGGACAATTACTGGTAGGATGAATAGTGCACGAGGTGATCACACAGCATCCGTATTAATGAATGGAAAAGTGCTGGTTACTGGAGGAATTTATGATGGCGAACCTTTGAATAGTACAGAACTATATACAACATTTTAAGCAAACCAAGTGTATTAACGACTTTTGAATTTTGATTTGATTACTTTATTCTCCAAATAGTATGCTTAAAGCACAATTGCTTTATTTTAATAACGATGAATCGCTTCTAGACAATAATCGTTTAGTCTGTGTATATCTGATAATCAGTTAAACTGCTACAAAAAGCCTAAGCAACCATGAAAAAATTGGTCTCAGTAGAAATTCTTTTGAATTATATCTATTAGTACAGATAAAAATTTCATTTTGAAATATGAAGGATGAATTTCTCATCGGAAAGGAACTCTCAAGTTAGAATTAAAATTACATAGCGTGATGATAATAACAAAATATTGGCGTTAGAAATAATGTTACCTTAACACAATGATCTTGCCAGGAGAATGAATAGAGCTTAATGAATAAGTTTGAATTCGAACTCAATGCAAATATTGATCTTGTATTGGGATATGGGCTTGATAGATTTTTCATTACTACACAGTGAAGTTTCAACCGTTCGGGCTGAAATTCTCACCAAAGATTGAGTAGAGAGTGAGCAGTTATTTGACACAATTTTTGATTCGAAATACCTCATCGGAGAACATACTATATATGTGTTTGTTTTATATACGAAAATGGATCTCAGTATTTTGAACAGAACTACTCGTAGACTCTGTCAAAATAACTTAATTTTGGTATCAAACGATGCCTCGTAAACAGGGTTGCCACCTCATCAGGTGAGAAAAGCGGAAAGTTTGATCAAAAAGAGCGGGAAATAACGGAAAATAGCGAAAACAAAAATAGAAAAAACGGAAAGCTGCTTTTTGCTGACCTTTCGCATTTCCAAGAGTTTAAGTAACTTTGTTTTATTGCTCACAGTACTACTTTGTTCGCAGTTCCACAACATAATAGACAACTCATAAAAAATATCAGGGCGTACCTGGCCTGGAACTCCAAGAAGAAAAAATAAACAATTTCCGGTCCAAAAATAAATATATTTTTTCTGTCAATTCTTTTTCTACTCATCTTTTCTAAAAGTGCCATACAGGGAAAATGTTTGTATCGTCCCAAAAAATGTTCGTTTTGTGATAGTGAAATGGCCGTATTGCGACTGTCAGTTCACTATTTTTCGCAGAGAATATACCACCGAAGGCGGCTCTTTTTTGGCACAGCACTTTAAAAGTTTATGCGAAAAGATGCAATCGAAAAAACTGAAACTCATTTTTCAGAGTAATAGAACAAAAAATATATATTCCTTTCCACATATAGCCGCCGAATGCGACTCCTTTTTGGCACAAATTAAAACATTGGCCCGAAAAACGTACAATCCAAAAAATAAAGCTCGCTTTTTACAAGTCTAAGAGGATAATGTTGTTCTTTACATTCAGCTGTCGAATGTGGCTATGCTTTCATCTATTATATTAACAAATGAATAAGAACTTGAAAGAAATTTTCTTTTCTTCACTGGCATTTCAAATCCAGGTGAATGTATTTCATAGTGGAGGCCAAAATGAACACGAAATGTGTTTCACTAGAAAAATTTATTGGAAAATCTATCATGTGAAGCGAAAATTTTTCAAGAATTGTATAAAATTATACGTTAGGAAAATTATTTTCCAAGAAATTTTCGTCTAACATCACGTTATCTAGTTTCTTGCATGGCTAAGTTTTCGATTAAACAACGAAAGTCTTTTATATGAAAAAGCTGAAAAAAGCGGAAGAGGTGGCGACCCTGCTCGTAAAATTCTGCGTCTAGTGAGCTATAAACAAACCGAAACAAACGATGGTCCAAAACTGGCACCTTATGCGCCCCCTTCCTGTCTGTCAATTCCGAAAACTTTATTGTGTTCCATGAATTCTGATCACATCTTCAGATAGAACAAAAAACGCTGAGTACAATTAATATCTATCTTTATGTTTTATCTAATAGGTAATATATTCTCACGATATATTCGTGAATGGTTCAACTTTTATCCTGTACAATATAATCACCAGAAATCCGAATGATGTTTTTGTATATTTTTCAATAAAATGTCTGGACATTTTTATTCTGAAACGGTTAAAATTAAAAGTTCATGTTCACCTGGATTATCATCGCGTCTGGTTTTCTAGATCTCAAACTTGAATAATACGGTAAGCATAATTTACTCAGCTTTTGAAAACGATCCTTTAATTATACGAGAGTCAGAGACCGAAACAAAGTGGGTTTTACTATAATAGTTTCGGTTTGGTTTGGTTCCACTTAATGTTCAGAAAGTCAGCTTGTATTAGCTCGGCCTCAGCCTCATTCTTGGGAAATCAGTTCGTTTTCGGTCGCTGTTACGAATTATCATCTATGACTGGATGTTTTCACATCTGTACTTAAGCACAAGAACAGTTGTTTCTTTCTTTATAGATTAACATTCGATTAGCAACTTATAAAAATATACAGTTTTACATAGAATTCAGTTGTTAAAACATAAGATTTTCTTGGAAAAATTGCAAAGTATAGAATATTTTAGTAATTTTTGTTAGTGAAATTTTTGATTTATATGGCTTTATCAGTGAGTATTTTTTTGTTCTAGAGTATAGTAACAAGTATAATTCTGACCAATCTGGTAGAAAAACAAAAGAAATCAGAATTGTGCAACTATTAAAGAACATCAAACTATACTTCTGTCTGCTTGTGTGTAGTTTTCTTGCTTATACTGCTGAATCTACTTCTGACTACTGTTTGATTGGAAATAGGATAGGAGAATTCGAAATTTTCATCAAAACAAGTGTAGTAGCTACATGTATCTTGATCACATGATTGGCATCTATATTTAAACACTGTATAATTGAGTAGAAGACACGTTGTATGTGTATGTGCATTCCTAAAGCTTCGATTATTTGCATAATTAGAAGCTTCAGTTGAACCGAGCACGACACAAGGAATGAACAGCATGCATGCACAGCCACCTGCTAAATATAGAACAATCGAAAAGAAATCACTAAAACATGATTTCGCCATTTGTATTTTGTCGTTTTGAATATTAATCGAAATGTTTAATGGTAGACTTTCATGTTGCAAATGACGTCAGTATACGATAGTCGACTCGAAGAAATTCGTATCTATTTCATCAGAGAGATGATTCATCTACACCTATAGTCCCGTCACTGCAAATAGTATGCCATTCTCAATTATCGTATCACTCTAAGGATGGGTATGAGTGTTAGCACGTGTTGATCAGACAAAGAGTTCAACGCTCACTCATAGTCAAACGCCAGAACTCAAATATTAAAGGATTTTTTGAATAACACGAACGAAAATTCAAAAATAACTCATAAATTAATAGTATATGAATCAATTTTTTCTGTCAATCGAAACCCCATCAGTAAAATTTTCAGAGCCGGATCCGATGGACTCTAGTGGGTGTGAGGATGCTTGAGAACAGGTTATGCAACTACATCTGAGCAATCATAATGTCTATCGAGCATCATTTGTTTTACTGCAGACTTGAATATAATACTGAGCATAAAATGTATTCCTATTGATATTGGTAAATTTTATGTTTGGATACATTTATTTTAGTAGATGCCAGCTATATGAAAATATCCAAGTTGCCTGTGCTTATTGCCTTAATCATCAAGTGAATGCTGTGTACGAACTGCGTAGTCTCAGAAATTGAGCCATATATCCCACTATTTAAACTGATGGGACAGCAAGTGCTCAGCGGTTTACAAGATTTCATGATCATATTTTTAATTCCGCCAAAGTTTTGTAGGTGCTCTTTTTTATCGTTTTTTCACAATATCCGGCATACTTTCTTCAGTGTGATGTTTCACGATGTGAGCGTCGCTAACCTTCCACTGAAAGATATGATCAAGTTAAACACATGCTGAAAGTTTTTATTATATGAAGCGTGTGAATCAAATATTGGTGTTCTAGGCGCTTGTCTATAGTGCAAATAACCTAGCTATATCAATCATGAGACTGCTCATCAAAATATATTCTCTATTCAGTCATTTTGTCAGAGAATCGTTGACTCTCTTTTCAAATATTTTATTTCTAATAAAAAAAGTAAGTATTTTTTCATATATTCGTTTACTATGAGAAAATAAAAATCGATCAAACATTGGTGATTAGATATGTTCTGTTTTGTTTAATCAAGTTCTTCAATTGTTGGACCATTACCATTTGATTTCGATGTACTATGATCCGATGGCATATCGTTGTTATGAATTTTAGTCATAATTGGTGAACAAATTTTTTCGATTTCTCTCATTTTATGTTCAATTTCATCCTTTTCAGCCAATCGATTTAATTCTATCCATTCTAATGTCGATTCAATTGTTTGATTTATTTTTGTTTTATCATCCACTGAAAGTTTCGATGAAATTTTATCATCCTGAATGCTTGATTTCATATTAAAACAATATGATTCAAGTGCATTTTTCGCTACTATACGTTCATGTTGTAATTCATCTTCTTGCTTATACTTTTCAGCGTCGCTAAGCATACTTTGAATTTGTTCTTGTGATAATCGATTTTGATCATTTCGAATTTCGATTTTTTTCTCTCGACCAGTTGATTTCTCCACAGCAGATACATTTAAGATGCCATCAAATCCAATATCAAATGTAACTTCAATTTGTGGTACACCACGTGGTGCAGGTGGAATACCAGTCATTTCAAAATTTCCAAGTAAATGATTATCTTTAGTCATTTTACGTTCACCTTCAAAAACTTTAATGTCAACACCAGGTTGATTATCTGAATAGGTTGTGAATGTTTGTGCTTGTCGTGATGGAATAGATGTACCACGTTTAATCACTGCTGCCATAACACCACCAGCTGTTTCAATACCCAATGAAAGTGGTGCAACATCAAGCAGTAGAACATTTTTAACTGCATCGGATTTATCACCTTTTAAAATAGCTGCTTGAACAGCTGCACCATAAGCTACCGCTTCATCTGGATTAACCGAATTATTTAGTTCTTTACCATGAAAAAAATCTTGAAGTAATTTTTTTACTTTTGGAATACGCGTTGAACCACCGACGAGTACTATTTCATTAATATTTGATTTATCCATTTTAGCATCACGCAATGCTTGTTCAACTGGTTCGAGTGTTGAACGAAATAGAATCACTGGCATTTCAAATCCAGGTGAATGTATTTCATAGTGGAGGCCAAAATGAACACGAAATGTGTTTCACTAGAAAAATTTATTGGAAAATCTATCATGTGAAGCGAAAATTTTTCAAGAATTGTATAGAATTATACGTTAGGAAATTATTTTCCAAGAAATTTTCGTCTAACATCACGTTATCTAGTTTCTTGCATGGTTAAGTTTTCGATTAAACAACGAAAGTCTTTTATATGAAAAAGCGGAAAAAAAACGGAAGAGCGGAAAAAAAGCGGAAGAGGTGGCAACCCTGTTCTAATCTGATCTAGTATGTTCATGATAATTACGAATTGTGATAATTTTATAATTGAATTGATGATATTCTTCAAAAAACAAATATAAAATAGACTGATTAGAATGGTTTTCAAACGTGAGTCTGTCACAATTTTGAATCAAATTTTTTATGTCAATTTGTACAGCTCAAAAAGTGAATCGATTCCAACGCATTTCTCTATATCTTAATAATTTTTATTAGCAAGTTCTCGTTTTCTTTTTCATTCCATTTAACTTTTAGTTAAGCACGTGACTCTATGAATTTATCTTCTATCCGGACACAAAGTTAATCTCTATTTTACACATGATCTCTTAGATATATATATATTGGGTATTTTTCTTTCTACATCGAATAAATAGTAAGACAATTTATAGAAACATTCCATCTGTCGTTTAACCAAAAATTTCAATTACAAATTTTCAGTTTCTGCTATAAATTGTATATCAGATGGATATGGATGTTAATAATGAAAATGAACCAAAACTAATTTTGAATATATTAATCTATGCTGTTGATGAATGTGGTATGTACAAATCAAGACTATAAATTAATATTAGAATAATTTTTTTTCTTTTGAAATGATTTGAGGAATTTGTCATCTATTCCAAAATGAAACTTTCAATGAATTATCAACAATTCCAAATAGTATCGAAGAAAATATCTACGAACAGGATGTTTCAAAATCGATTGCTGTTCTTTTAAATCAAATAGATAATTATGTTCAAATGACAAATAAAAGCTTAATAGAAAGTATGCTATTGAAATATAAATTTGATTCAAAAAGATAAAATCTCTTCATTTATTCTTCAGATTCATCAAATTTCGGTTCAGCTGATTATTTTTCAACGCAACCATTTTCAATACTTAATCTTCAGGAAAATTATTTATCTTCTTTAAATCTATTCAATAATGATATATCAGTACCAGTTCATTCACCTCCTCTAAAATTCAGTGGTCAGATAGTTCCACAGTATCCAAATGATATCTTAATTATCAATAATGAATTACCTCAGAAAAAACAGAAAAAGAAAAAGAAAAAATCATTAAATTATCGTGTACATCGATCAAGTATTTTAAAGAAACAATTGAAAACTTATTTAAGAAAAAAGAAGAGAAAACAACAAAAACAGAAAAAATCAAATGAATCTCATGTAATCGATGTTTCAAATGTTATTGTTCATCATGAACCACAACAGATCGAATCAACATCTATGGAACGTTCAACTACGATCGATTTTCAGTTACCACCTGATCTATCAAAACGTAAATATATCTATAAAGATATAACTTTATCAAACAATAATCTGAATCAAATAAATTGGGTAAATAAGAATAGCATAGAGTAGACCAGAATTTTCGAAAGATGTGTTGTTTTTTCGGGTACAGAACGAAGTCAGCCTTTAAAATCAAAAAATTTACCCTAGTGTTTGGAACTTACATGAATGTCAGAAAATAAATTTAATGCATAGGACAGATTTTTTTTATCATGCAGAGATTTATCTTTGGAATTTTTTGTCAATGTGACTCAACTTTTCTTTAGCGAATCTTTCAATGTACACAACAATCATCATCATCGATATCTTGCATTGAGCAATCGATAACAAACGGTAAATTCGTGCAATTCAATCTTCAAAATTTTGTAAAGAAAATTCAATGTTTTAGATCGAATGTATCAGGCATTTTATTCTACTAATAAACCAATATCATTACCAGATATGCGAATCGGTTTATCACGGCACTATAGTACCAAACATTTGCATAAAACAGTAATAGATTAGAGAGGAGTTTTTCTTTTAGAAACTATTATATTCGAGTTTGTTGTTATTATAAATATGATTTTCATTCGGTCGATAGTGTTCATATCTTCTAGTTTGTTTTCTTTCTTTATTAATTGAAAAGATTAATTATAGTAATTAATAAAAATTATTTATTCAAATTATCTTTTTGTTATCGATCGTTACTATTCAAGTTATTGGCAACGAAGTACAAGAGTATTTTATTGTTAGATATTTTTTATCATAAAAAAACCATAGAAAATCTGAAGTAAATAAAAACTAAATAGTCTAATGTCTATTCTAAATAATGATAATGATGAAAATACTGGCAAAAGTAAATTTTCATATGTATCACAACTATTTGTATGACAGCAATAATAAGAAATTGTACATGCTGATGAATGACTAACGTAAGTGTATGACCACAATTTGGTGGTAATTAATTTGTATATGAGTCATCACCCATGAGATCAACGACATCGATATCAATGGTTAGACAATTAATTTGAATACGCTAAAGATAAGAGAAAAGTCTATGTAAGACATGAGCAAAATTTCTATTGTTCATACAAAACATAAATGATTATTTGTCGATATTTCTGGTGGCGTTCATGTACAACCATGACATTCATAACATGTTATATTAGCATTGCTTTAACTATATCTAAATAAAAATATAACTATTAAAAAATGAATTTCTTATAAACACATATCTTACATGATAGCAAAGTAGCGCCGAAAAGCAGAACATGAAGCATGATAGTTTAATGGGAAAACGTATTTCTCGGAAATGATCATCAACAAGAAACCTATTATTATTTTTCAATCTATTTTTTTTACTTCCTAATATTGCTATGAAAATTATATCAAGTTGCCAATCTGTATCACTAGAGATCTTGTTTTCCATCTTTATCTAACTTGTATATTTCTACTAGAACACTATGTTTTATATCTTGACGCTTGAGGGAAAACAGCGAAATACCATAGAATGAGACTGTACCCATTTTATTCAATTAATACAATGGAAGATTGAATTAGAGATGTGAATAGAATATTTACGGCAGTTATTATAATCTGGTGTGACGTAGTTCTAAAAATAGGACAATTATAAATCCATGTATTCATTTCTACATGGAAGAGTTATAGTAGAACTCTTTTTGTTTTTAGAGATGTCGCAAAAACAAAAACCATAATAGCAGATGAAAATAAAGGGGTTCGAAAGAAGACTCTTGATTATCACTCTAATTGACAATCGATACGATAAGTGATCGGTTAGAATATTTCAATTGACTTTTTGGTTTCATAGTAACGATGAATAATAAATCAAAATCACACTTCAGACACTTTTCGATGGTTTACATTCTCTTTCTGGGAATGTGGACATAATTTGATTTGTGAGAAAGTGTATACATTATGTACTTAGGATCTAAAACAATTGTATTGACAGTGTTATTCTCTAGGAGAAAGAGAATTCCTTTCCCTGACTTCAACAAATGAAACAGTAAAAGCTGAAAAAAAAATGATTGGAATTAGAATAATGGAAATTAGAAATTGATAAAACCAAGAGACCGTTTCTTTTCTCTTGAATCGAAAATTGAAATCTTCTATTCAACAATATTTTTATTTTAGTTTTTCTTCTAATTTGAAATACGCTTCGAAATACGAAAGTATAGTTGAAAAATTAGAATATTTTTCTTCGGTTTACATTATTATTTCGAATCAGTTCGAGTCTACTCATCATACTGAAAAATGGAAAAAGAGATATAGCAGCTAGGACACGATCATTGAAATTGCATAACTTTTATGTTGCCTACTGATACTCAAATGAAACAACTGCTCTTTCTGTTCTGAATATGCTACCAAGTTTTCGTTTGCTTTATTCTTTCCTTTTTCGTGTGGTATTTATTTCTCATGCTGTCATTGGCGCATGCGAAAGAAAGCAGATTATTTTTTCATTAAGGTGATATTTTTCTTCACAAAACATCAATCAAAGTAACGATCAAAATTTTCCTGGAAAACACTTGAGCTTCAAGGTTTTCATAAATTGAGAGGCCTGAAAAGAGGATCGTCCAAGATTTAAAAAGAGCACTTCGATTGTGTTCAACGGAAAAATTTTGTTTTGTTGGTTGGCTGACTGACTGATCGATGAGAAATTGTTCAGACATTGCTCGATTGAATACAAACAACTTTGTGAGTGATAAACCTTCGTTGTTATCTCGACTTCTTTAATAGCACAATTAGTTAAACAGTTAGACATGTCTATTTTACATTCGCTCAAACTGTCTCTCGTTTACTAAGTTGATAAAAGGAAAATTTATCATCTGACGAATTGAGAAGAGTTTTTATGTTTAGATATGAGAGTTTTGTGGTTAACAATATTTGTATCAGTTACAAAATACATACGACATTTGAAATTTTAAACAAGCGTATTTGATTTTTCTTAATGCTTTTCTAATTAATTGTAAAATAAAATATGTTCTGTGAGTTTTGTTCGTGCTCACCACATTATATATTATAACAATTCAAATATAATAATTCATGAACATGGAGTCATAGCTTAACGCCATCTACATATATTGATGAGTTTGATTGATCAATGAAAAATCGAGTTGTGTTTCCATAATTTCCTGTCTGTCTCGCACCCTCACCGTCAACATGGACAGGGATATGAGTTGATTTACGTTTACTACTTTTTCTGGATATACAACTAAATATGTTTTATTAATTTTGATTTTACTCTTTTTTTTTAGCTTTACAAATGTTTCGTAATCTTGGTCAAATTGCGACAAATGTTTGTCGTAACCATCGTATTACTTTTCAAGCAGTTCGAGCTCTTGGTATGGATGGAAAATCGTAGCCTTGATTATATGGTTTTTAATTAATTATTTATTTTTCGTATTTAGCATCGTCACCATTAAAAATGCCTTCTCTTTCGCCAACGATGAGCGAAGGAACCATTGTTAGATGGCTCAAGAAAGAAGGTTAGATCAATTTCACGTATTAATATAATATTTGATTTGTTAAATATAGGCGAAGAATTTAATCCTGGTGATGCTTTATGTGAGATTCAAACAGACAAAACAACATTAACACTTGATACTGAAGAAGAGGGCATTCTCGCTAAAATCTTAGTAAATAATTCATCAATTTAGGGTTATTTACTATAAGAGAACATCATGCTTTTATTTAGATGCCGGAAAATTCCACTGATATTAAAGTAGGAAAATTAATTGGAATTATAGTTGAAAAAGGTGATGATTGGAAAAATGTTGAAATACCAAAAATTGAAGAGACAACTTCGGATAGAAAGGGTACCGAATCGAAAGTCGTAGAAACAAAAGAAAAACCTAAAGTTGATCAGCAACCAGTCGCTCAATCTCAGTAGGAATTTTATCATTTAACCAATTAATCATATTTTATTTTATTTCTTAAGTCATGCTATTGGCCCAGCCGCACGTACTCTTCTAGAACAATACGGTATTGACGCATCTGCAGTATCAGGAACTGGACCGCATGGGGTTCTTATGAAGAGGTTCTACTCTTTGCTTTGAAATCATTGACAAATTTCATAGTGGTTTGTATTTTTTTTTCATTTATAGTGATGTTCAAAATTTTATTGATACTAATCAACTGAAAATTAAGCCGCACACTGTGGTGGAGGAGAAAAAACCAACGAAACAGACAAAATTAGAAGCACCACAGAAACAAACTATGGAATCTGGAGGACGTCGATTTCATGACATAGAAATTTCTTCTGTTCGCCGATCAATTGCTAAACGTTTAACATATTCAAAAACGAATATACCTCATCAATACATAAGTATAACATCCAATGTTGATCAAATACTCAAATTACGTAAACAAATGATAAGTGATCCTAAAGCAACGGCTAAAGTATCTGTTAATGACTTTATCGTCAAAGCTGTAGCTTATGCACTGAGAGTAAGTTATTCTAAAAATTAATTCAAATATCGTTTTGAAAACAGCCAAAGCTAGAAAATTAAAACATCCTTTCAGTAGCTTTTACTGTTTAGTAATTGTGCTTTAATCACATTTTGCAAGTTGTTATGATGCAGGAAAAAAAACAGAACTCTTTTTCTACGTAAGCCAAGACATAAACTCTAAAACTAGGTTTTTTATCACTCTTGATTTGTCATTATTTCTACCGTTTCTCTAATGATAAATAAAATTCTACATGTCTCTACTATGCCACAGATAGTAGACGAGAATCTATTGCAGTTCGAGGACATCGCCATGTCCCTTTCATTTCAAACAGGGCTGGCAAAATTTATGGTTTTCATTAAAGAAGTATTACAGAGTTTTCAAACTACTGCGAGACACAATTCTAATCCTAATAGGAAATTTATATCGATCATCTAGCTTCTTTACATTAGGGTTGATCACATCTTGATTTCTACTTGCAAGCAACATTTGTCTCTAAATATGAGATCAAATAATTCATGTTTGGATACGTCTTATCTGTTAGATGATATTTCTCAATGTACATATGTACGCTCTAAACAGTACACAATTGAAAAACTATTGTTGCACTACTCTATGAAAGTATTGATTTTAATTTTGTTGCAAAAGTCTTTCATCTCAATAATGAGGAGTAAAGTGAGCGAAACTACTAATGTTTGATTGGCGATATTCTTTACTAAAATTATTAGATTCGAAACGACAAGTATTTTGGTGATACTTTGCTACACAAAACAATACATTAAATCTTTTGGAGAATAACTTCTTCTATATAGTAGTATATATCGATAGGTAGCGTCACCTATTAAAATAACAACGGTAGTCAGTACAAATTTGATAATACATATATTATTAGACATACGAAACCTTTCTATAGAAGCCTATCTCTAACTTGTTCTCTGATGGAAATCTTATACTCGTCCTGTATTATATTTTTTTGAGAATCACTAGTGTCTTTTTTTTGGGCATACATCTTTGTTTTTCTGTCGAATTTTTAGCAAGTACCACAAATGAATGGTATCTACGAAGATAAAACAGGTCTTAAACTTCAATCAACAGTTGATGTAAGTGTGGCTGTAGCAACTGAAAATGGACTTATAACACCCATTGTATTTAATGCTGATCGTTTATCAGTACAAGACATCAATGGACAAGTTAAACAATTAGCTACTAAAGCTAAAGAAGGAAAATTAAAACTCAATGAATTTCAAGGTGGCTCATTTACAATATCAAATTTAGGCATGTTTGGTATTCGTTCATTTTCTGCTGTTATCAATCCACCACAAATTGGCATATTGGCTGTTGGTCAAAACCTACTCAAATATAGTGGTGAAGACTTTAAAACTGAAAATCAATTGACTGTTACATTATCCTATGATTCGCGTGCATGTGATCCTCAATCAAGTGCATTATTCCTTCAAGCATTTCGATCATACATGGAGAATCCCAATATGCTCGTATCTAATAATAAATCAGAATCAATTCTCAACTATTAATTGAACGTATTTTAGTCATGTAGAATAGAACAAGAGACAGAATATATGTATTTTTTTTGTCTTGTTCATTTCTCTCATTTTATATATACTTACGAAACATCTCTTTTCATTAGTTTCGCCCTATTTTAGATCTGATTGATCGAACATGCAGTTCGATATACGAAGGTAAATAGGACTAAATCGAAGTTAAATTTATTGAAAATTTACTTCTTTTACTTCAGATTTGATATTTATCGTAAAATTCCTAAAGATCTCACACAACCAACAACTACAGGTGCTGCGATATCACTTATTTGTATCACATTTATTTCAACATTACTTCTTATTGAACTCTATTATTTTATTACACCTGACGTGTAAGAAATCAAATTGTTGTAAACGACACTCTTCACCGTTAATATTCTTTCTTTGGTCTAGTGTTAGTGAATTATTTGTTGATGTACCAGAGTCTGGAATAGCTGATCGAATACCAGTACATCTTGATGTTACGGTATTAGGAATCAATTGTCCATGTAAGAATGAAACATAAAAAATGAACGATTTTCTAGTTCGATGATATGAATAGAAAATTTTAATTTAGTTCTTGGTATTGATATACAAGATGATCTTGGTCGACACGAAGTCGGATTTCTTGAAAATACTGTAAGAACACCCGACAACAGTGGTGCTGGTTGTCGTATTAATGCTACATTTAAAATAGCTCGTGTACCGGGTAATTTCCATATATCAACACATTCCGCTGCAATGCAACCTGCAAATGCTGATATGAAACATGTGATACATGACTTAACGTTTGGAGATTCAATTAAAGTTTGTTGACTTGAAATGTAAATTGAAATGAAGAATTTTTCTGTTCTCTACTTTAAAAGGGGTTTCGACAAATTCCAAATCGTAGAGCATTCCATCCATTGAGACGCTTTAATAATACAAACCGACCGAATGATGCTTCACATGATTATTTAATGAAGATCGTACCTACTATATATGAAAATCTTCGTGGATTACGTCGATATCCATATCAATTCACATTTTTCTATCGGGTTAGTCAATGAATTTCTTTATTTTTTAATGTATTTCACAATTGCCTATTCATCCTTTACAATAATTACATTTATGACAATGAGCAATGACTTTACTTTAAATTTATTATCTTAGAGTTTTGTTTTGACCAGAAAATTTATTGAATTCAATTCATGCTCAAAAATGTTACGCAAAGCTAAACGCCGATTGAATTATTAAAGAGAGCTCTTTCCCAAAGAATAATTTATTTTCTTATGAAAAATAAATGAAGTTTGAACTGTCCGACTCTATTTATTCTGCATATTATCAAAGAATTTTTTCCCAAATCTTCACATGCTGTTGTTTTAGATTAAAAGGATTCGCCCGAAGCTATTTTAAATCCACTCAAACTATAAAACGTATTATGTACTTTTTAAGCCAATCATATTTTCTGTGTACTAAAGAACTAAACTTTAATTGAAATAATATTATCTGTCAAATTGAAATGTCGATGTGAATCTTTTCTATCAAATAGAAATTAGAAATAGATTTGCTCTCTATAAAAAAAAATCAATTATTTGAAATAGAAAAAGCTGTACTATTTTTAAACGATCTAATCTTCTCTATAATCTAGATAAAAAATTATTGATGCAGAAAACCGGTTATCGGAAAGACTAGTATAGAAAAAAATTGCCGATTCTTTCCATGATTATAATCAATAATCTACGATGCACTAATTTCCGATAAGAAATCAATTGAACAGTGGAAACAAGATGAATCGATATTTCTCTATCGTAATACAAACGGCTTCATTCAGTTTTGAAAAAACCTTAGTGAGTTTTTCTTTTTGATGCAATCACAGGGAACTTCAAGGACTCAATCCTTTCATATTTCTTTCATTTTTTACTATTGAAAAATAATACGTTATTCTTTGTTTCTATCCGAGTATACAGTTCAATCATTGTCTTTGTTATATCAGGAGACATCTGTCCTGTCATAAGTATGGTCTCTCAGTTTCATTCTATCACGTTTACAATCGTTCCATACTTCTTCTCGTATCTGTTCTATTTAAGTGCGTGTTAACATTTAAAGTAAGGGGGATTACTTTTTTGTGAGAATGTAATAATAATAATAATAATAAGACGAAATAAAGAAGAAGATTCTAACAAATGGTGCACTAGCCGGGAAGCAGCACACAACACTGACTCATCAATCTCATGTTATGACCGAAGTGTTCCCCGTCGATCATAATACGGAACAAATGAATAATACACGTTCCTTTATAGTATAGTGGCAGTACAGCTGCCCGGAAAGCAGAAGACGTTGATTTGATTCCACCAGAGGGAGACTATCCTTCTGTTCCGTTCTGTTGTCATGCCATCACGTTGCTGTCTCGTTGGTACTGAGTTTAATAATGTGAGAGACAAGAATACATAGTAGTACTTCGTTCGTACTTTTATTTTAAATTTCATAATTATGTACAACATTTTTTCTTATGGATTGTTTTATATTGTATGTTCTTTGTTTTTCTGCCGTATAAAAGTGAATGAAGGATTTTCTTTTTTCATTAGTTAATATAAATTTGATGACGTTTACAATGAGCTTTGCGAAGATTAATACATATAGACGATGTGTTGCATCGCTATAAAGCATCTATATCAAGTCACTTTGGTTTTAAATTTTCTTTAAAATTGAGTTTGATGTGTATTCTCCATCTAAATTAATTCTTGTGACTTATTATTAGTGACATATTAGCGTTGTAAGATTTTATTTTTTATAGATTTTGACAACAAATGAATTAACTGAGGTCCATATGACTCGAAACAATAATAAATAGTTTTCAGAAATAGTAGACACTCGAGTTTTTATATAAATAATACAAAAATTATATCTTATTCTAAAGTGAGAGTAATTCAAAATCGGAATAAAAAAGTTGTGTGTTTAATAGTTTCATATGGTTCGATAGCATTTGTCGAGTAGTAGAAAATGCTATATTAATTTCTTTTTCAATGAGCATAGCTTTTTCAATTGCTTCTTCATTATTGAAAAGAAATTGGGGATATACTTATCCAATGCAGCGTATAATAGATCAGTTTTCTTGCTGTTAACAGTTATTGCTGAATGAAAACTCGTCCGTGTTCAACAATCAAAAGTAAAAAGCAAAATTATTTTCAATTGTTAACATTTTAAGGATGTTTATCATCACTCTAAGGCATTTTAAAAATCATTTTATTCCGTAAAACATTGATTGTCGAAAAACTAGTTCATTAAGAAGTCAATTAAGATTTACAAGTCAATCAAATTGATTTTTAGAAAACGTGTAACGACAGCCATTTTCAATATGTAAAGAAAGATAATTAACTGTTTATAAAGCGATTAGAATTTTTAACCAACCCTGAATAATCAGCAGTCTATCAGGTTTATTTGCTCACGTATGTTTGCCGTGTATGTGAATCTAATAGCATGCTTTTCTGTTAATAAAATGATTTGGTTGCAATAAACCATCAAATCATAAATTCGACTTGTAGATAAGTCGCAAATTACTTGCTAATAAAATACAAAATATTCCATCATTACTTAGAACGATGCTTTATAAATTTATGAAATTTTAAGTGTGTCAATAAAAACAAAATATTTATGAAAGATCCTTCGGGTATATAGAGACATTTTAAAAACAGTTCTCATCAAAATTAACATAATTTATGATACTCTTAAATATTGCACGAAGAAAATATCATTGTGACTTGAATTGATTTAAAGAGTAAAATTGCACCAATTTGGAGGTTTAAAATCGAACAACTTATGTTGTTCGTCAAATCGTTGAAAGTATTTGAATTCTCTTTTGCTCAGCAAATTTCCTGACTTTGTTACATTCGAGTAAAACGAGATTAAAATCGTTAGATAAAGACTTTTTTAATGCCATATTGCATGAGCATATCTTGCAAGCTTCTTTAATTATGAAACACATGATAAAAGCTTAATTCATAAAATAATCATATCATTTTTTTAAAAAGATTTTTAAGCGTCCAACAAAAACAACCAGTTGAAAAAGAATAAAATTCGTAAGATTTGATGTGAAAATCAGCAAATTTAATAGAGTCATGTCAAGAAAGTTTTATTTCACTTTTCTCTTACTCATATCTTGCGTAAGATTAAACTTCACCGGTACTTCAACTTTGTGAGAGAGAAAATGATAGTAAAATATAATCTTCTCTCTCATTAAATTATATAAGGCGATAAAATGCCATGATTATTTTTTTAGTCTGCATAAATGCAAAATCTAAGTTGTTTGGAAACACGAAGAAGAAAATTTATAATTATTTAAACTAATGATATTACACTTTGCAAGATATTAAATGAAAATATTAGCTTGTAAAAACATTTTCCATTTTGCTATGCCATTAAAAAGGAAGTCACCTAAATGGAATACAAATTTCTATTACTGTTGATGTTCCTGATGCACTTGATTTTTCTAGAAATTTTATTCGTGTAGAAAGGTATTATGCTTTTTTCTCTGAAACTAACTTTGATGTTAAATATTTTCAACGGTTATTTCTTTTTATCCGAGCTGGTCGAAATAAACTTGTGGATAAGACCGACCTAGTATTGAACTTAGCATGACCTTAAGCAAAAAAGGAAATGCTTTAAAGAACAACACGGGCTGATACTTCAGGAACAAAACAAACAAGAAGCCATTATCTAATATAGCTAATTTATATCGAGCTGCTTCCTACTTTAGAAGTAAAAATGAAAATATTTTTGAGAAAGTCCTTATCTACATCATTCATCAGGTTTCCTTACAAGTACCGAAAGCTCCTTCGAGCAAAGATAAAATAATAGAGTACATTATTCTGGGTTGCATCGCTTATTTTTTTAATGATATGTATATTGAGTAAAAAAGTCCATTGTGTATAATCAACGCGTATGTCGATTCTTCATCAGTAGTACTACAGTTTAACAAAAAAACAAGAGGAAATGCAAAAAAGAATATAATTAAATTCAAAGCATAAACAATAACTGCTTGTTTTCAGTATTTTTCGGACAAATAAATTCTAATTCCTGACTTCCAATCATGTTGATAAAGAAAATAGTCATGATCCATACCTACTTTCTCTATGATTACTACTACACCCCATCTCTGGCTTAATTGAGCAGTGTAATAATCGAACACAGAACAAGCAAAGCTCTTTTACTCTATTTTTATCTGGAGTGATCATCATCACGGTTAACTCTATACGAAGGTCAAATGCAATCATGTCATATTCTCATAGATAGAAGAAGAGTTTTGACATTAATAAAAATTATTACATGCATATACGTAATGAACGAATTTTTTTCTATTCAATAGAGCGTATAATACTTACATTAAGTGTGTTAAGTACCTTCCTTCAACAATGTTTTTCTTTCTTTAAAGGAATATACTCCTCATCAGCATGGCATGGTACCAGCCATATGGTTTCGTTATGATATAATAGTAAGAAAAAAAAAATTATATTGATTCATAAACAGGTTTTTTTAAAATATTTTTTCTATTGATCGTTTAGCCAATAACAGTGAAATATACTGAACGTCGACAAAAATTTTATGCATTTATAACATCGATATGTGCTGTTGTTGGTGGTTCATTTACAGTGGCAAGCATTCTTGATTCATTAATATTTACAGCTAGTGAATTATTTAAAAAATTTGAACTTGGCAAAATGACATGAAATTATTTGGTAATCTAAATCAAAATCGACAACTTTTTAACAATGAGCTTATTTGAAGTTTTTTTTCTTTTCTTTTCATAGAATTATTGTTCATTGTAATTTAGAATCACTAATAATTTTCTTTAAGAATCTCATAATCAAAATAAAAACAATTTTGTTCGAAACTTATGTTGTTCTCAAAGACTAATATTGCATGCATAGAGCTATGACATACGGAACACGATAGAATAAGGTATATAGACGATAGATTTGTTTGAATCGATTGACAACGAAGTCAATCATTTCGTGAGAAGAAATTTGCATTCACAATCATTGACATATTGATTGTGCATGATCGAATTTTGGTCAAAAATACTAAACATTTGCACTTGTGGGAATAAAAAAATTAGATGACTTCTGACGTCTAATCTAATTTTATCAATGACTCCTATCACAGTCGTTGTTCGGTTTGACAGATTATTTCTTCTTTTGTTTTGTGACTTGTCAAAAAAATAAGCTACGAACAACTATCTCCACTGCTGGTAAACCACTGAAATAAGTTATTATTGAATTATAGTTTGCTATTCGCTATATATGAAACATTGTTTACCTGATGGCGCTGCCTTTTTTTCCTATTGCTTACTATTTAACACTGCTTTCCGGTTTTTTTACGGGTAATTGACTTTTCATTATTATATGCATGATGAAATATTCTTCGTTGAAACATATAATCACGCTAATGATGAAATGGATTACACTAACGATGATGCCGATATTGAGATAAGTTATGGTAAAAAATGAATTCAACAAAAACATCAATAGGTAATCATCATTATCAATAGTTCAACTACTCCTTTAATTAATATATATAAATATTGATACTCATTATAAAATAAATATAAAAATAGGCAACAAAATTTTGCAAGAAATAATATAGCAAACATCCCATATTTAAACACCAGGAAGTTATGTACGAATGCGGAACAACATGGTATCATTGATTTAATAGGAAAACAGCAGGCTTAAGTAGTATCAATAGGTGCATTTAATGTTACAATTAAATATAGCATTTAAATAGTATGTTCGATTGAATATACTCAAATTCCATTATGACAATAACATTCTATAAATGCAAAAAGCTAATACGGTCGAACTTAAGTGAAAAAGTCACTCGCTGTTATAAGTTCCTCAAGATGCATCATTCTTAGTTCAATAAATATTAAGTCATTCTGCTAGTATCAATATGAATATTTGCATTTTAAAGATCCATCTTTTTGCCTGGTCTAGGGCTATGAAAATTCATTAAAGTTAAATAGATAAATACTTAGAGATTCATAGGTTATTTCTCATTGAGGAGTTCTTTTTACTACGAAAAAAGTACATTGAACCTCTTGACTCAAAAGAAAAAAATGAAAATATTCAATGGACCAGAATCTTTTACAAAAGTTAATGATCATAATCATAACTACTACTTAAAATCATCAATTGTTGTTGGCCTGTCGTTTTGGACTCTAATCAACGTCATTATCATTATTTCTTTTTCTCGGCAGTTTTTTTCTTCTCTGTTCCGCCTCCGCTACTCCTCCTTTTTCCTTCTGTTGTAGTCTTTTTTTTTGTTTTGTGAGCTTTCTTATAATCAATGGTGTAGTTTTACTGACAAGTGTTTTAGAATGAAAGAAAAATGCTGAAAAGAAAATATAACTTCTACAATAAGAAGAAGAGACATCAGTAGTCAAGACTAATCTATCTGTTTATTTACTTTTTCAATCACGCAAATCTATAAATGAATTTGCACGAGTGAGTTTGTTTTATTCGATTCTAATAATAAAAAACTCATCAAATATAAATGTTATATTATATTCGATTTTTATGTTAGATGAGTAAATTTATTAGAAGACACAAACATAGAAAAGAGTTGAGTGATACTCGTTTGTGGAAAAATCTCTTCAGAACTTTGACATGGCTGGATCATTCAATTTAAGCTCGTACGTGTTCAGGAAGTTTATAACTAAGTTTGAGCATGAGTTATGCTTGAACTATTATTAGCTGAAACGAGTAATAGTTACGAATAAAATTAGATTAATTGAATGGATAAATGAAAATTCTTATTGTATGTCAATCGCTTTTCACATTTGTTAGATCTAAATGAGAACAACGGCTTCATATCATCAATATAAAAGAAGCATGTGACAATCTGGGAAAAAAGACTTTTCTTCTTCCGAATCACATGTAAATAGAAAAGAACAATTTCCTTCTTTTTTTTATATATATCTATGAGTATAGTAATTTACATTAGAAAGAATAATTTATATCGAGAAACTAATAATTCGCTGGTCGAATATTTTCATATAATTGAACAATGTAAAAAGAAGAAGCTGGCAGTCAGCACACATACTATGTCAATTAAGAATACCGCCTCTAAGAAGCATGATTATAGAGGATAACATTCGTCTATAACAAATCTCTTTTTTTTAATCAAGTGACAGTTCTGTATTTTATTCAAACGGATAGACAATGAGAAAAATAAAATAAACATTATTAAATTTATTGATATAAAATTTCATGTTATTTAAATAACCATATAAACTTTTTTTCTCATATCAATCAAGTGTAAATTTTTCTTTACTTCTCTCTGTTGAAAAATGAGTTTCTGAGAGGTTTTTCTTCTTACTATTATCTCTTATTTGATTATATATTTGTTAATAACGACTTTTCATTTTGAACGAGATTTCTTATGGCGCATCAACTTTTATCTTGAAGCTTCCTCTTTGCAATACACGTCATTCTCTCTCTTTTTTTTCCTTATTTTCTATGTTTATGATGAAAACAACGAGCGAAGACAGGGAAAGAGAGAGAGAGAGAGAGCAAGAGAGAGATGAAGAAAAATCGACATCTGAAGTATTTCCTTGTGTTTTTTTATTTGCGCGTAAACGATGATGCATGATATAAATGTCTTTGTGTTGCTCGCCATTTTTTTAAATTTTTTCCTAAAAAGAAAAGAAAACATGTACTGTAATGAGAGTTAAAACAAATCGAGACAAATTATCTTTAGTTCTATAGGCTGATCTTTGATTAAAAATTACGTCGTTGTTCAAGTAGGGCAAAGTTTTTTATTGTTGCACTTATAATTTGTTTCTTACAGAGGCCGTATGAAAAATCGATTTTACGATTAAATAAACATATAAACTAGTATGTAAAAATGAGAAGGAAAATGATCTGGAATTTGTTTATATTTATTATTAATAGACGTTGTTGTTTTTTTACATCCTAAATTTTACTTCCGAAAATGAGAACCTGCTATTTTATAGTTTAGATTATCTTAATACACATTTTCATCTCATTTGGTTATGATCAAGTAATTATCAGCATGAACAATAGCTTCTCTTTTAATAATGATGATGTCCAACAAATCGAACAAACATTATCATCGTTTGATTTAAGATTTTTTCTTGTTCGTATTTTTTATCCATGTCTACTCGTGTGGGGTACCATCGGCAATGCATTATGCTTACGTGTTTTATTAAGTAAAAAATTTTTGAAAAATTCAACATGTCAATATTTGGCTGTGCTCGCTGTTATTGATATACTATTTATCGTGATGCGTTCAAGCAAACATGTTTATAAACTATTTCGTGTTACACCTATATTTAATACATCAAAATGGATATGTCGTATATTAACATTTTTTTCATCGGCACTTGCACATATGGCATCATGGATTTTAGTTATTGTCAGTATTGATCGATATTTAATAGTAACAAGTCGATATAGACGACATAGTTCATCTGTTAATCGAGTTTTTTGTTCGACAAGCATACTAATTGCTGTTGTTCTACTATGCAATCTGTATTATTTCTTTATACTTGGTAAGAACATATTTACATTCTGTTAAAATAAGTTTGATTAGTTCGATTATGTTAAGGAGCATATATAATTTATTAAATGGAAAACACATAGTATTTCAGAAAATCATGTTATATACGTATATATACCAAAACATAATATGAGAAAGAAAGGAGGTATTCAGATGTTTTGAAAATAACATTTTTTTTTTCATAATATAGAGAGCATAGCAAAAAGAAATTTTTGAAAGTAATATCTGATTATACACTTCGATGAAAAGGCTTGCAATTAAATCTGCATATTATAGAAGAAAATCGATTTGTTCAAATAATAGAAATTTCGAAAAGCATCTTAATGAAATATTTGATAAGATTACATTTTATTCTTCGTAGCTGTCTTTGTTCGAATAAGACGATAAAAACCGATATGTTGAACAGGAAGCACAAAAACAAAAATAGATTGCAGCTTTTGTTATTCACTACATTGAATTGAGATTCTGCTAATCTTGTTAACAAAAAAGAAAATTTTAATTTAAAAATTAATTCAATCTCATTGGTGTTGTCCTTTCGGAATATCATAGATAATGACATTTTAGAATATTAAATTTCGTGCATAAAAATCTGAAGCCAAGTGCTGACTTTTAAACATCAATGATAACTTATGAGAAAATATCTTCAAGAGTCGGATGTCGTTCGATTTCATATGATGACACCGACTAGATCTTGATAGAATAGAAAGAAAGCGTGAAAAACATTCGGCTCTACGGTCAATTGATGAAGAGATCTAGCCGTCATAATAAAATTTCTATTGAGAGGAAAATATTTCCGGAAAAATCAAAACAAAAAGTTGTGATCTGATATTATGCCCATAGGGGTGCTTTCAATAGTTATTTAAACGTTCGAAAATTTTTACCGAAAACAAGCATAATTTTCTCGAGCTATTTAATTTACACACAGATTCAGTTAAATTACTTTTCTATATGGTTGAACTTGGTTTCTTATTTTTTGACAAGGAAGAAATTCAATTATTTTGAGAACCATATATTTATTATCATTTCACACATTTCATGAAGTATTCGATGACTAATGAGACTGTTGACAAGTAAGAAGATGAATTTTCAATCAAACACAGTCGCTTTTTGCATTTTTGGGAACTGTCTTGATGTCTAGAAAAATGTTGTGAGAACCAACATACTCTTCTTTATTAAATGATTGTATGATAAATTATTTTTCCTCACATCAAGGCCTATTCTCAATTGTAACATGAAGTCAAAATGCACCCGACAATCAATTATATTCTCTTGTTACTTAATTAATTTATGCCGCTCTTATTGAAATAAAAAAAAACAACTTTCTCAAATATCTATCTTTGATAAATTTGAGTCACAGTAAAATATTGTCAAGAGTATATTAAACATGTGCATGACTAAATTGCATGTTACTATTTTTATTTTATTATTAGCAGTTGCATTTATTCATACTGCTTTTTTTCCCGTAATCCCACACTGAATTCATCCCCATTAAAAGCTGTACTTGATTAATCGTATACTAATTATATTTACGTTAATAGATATTGACAAATTTAAATATTTTATTGTTTTATAATTCATTAGGCCTAACAACAAAATTCACGCCTCACGGAACAAATTCAAACTACGATCAATATGATTTTTCAAACGATACAATGAATATGAATGATACGAATAATACTTTCTCCGAACCTATGGATTCTTTAGATGCATTCCAAGAGAAAACAACATCCATATTTATATGTATACCGAGTAACGGTTACGAACGTTTTTTTCGTATTTATATACCTATATTTGATATATTATTCGTTGCTGTTATGCCATTTTTACTCATTTGTTCATCTAACATTGGTATTATTGTCTATACGATGCATAAAAATCGCCAAATGCGACAACATCGTAAACGTGCACATCGTCGTCATCAACGATTAACAATAATGTTGTTATCCGTTACATTAGCATTTATTGGTTTAACATGTCCGTCAGTGATATTTATATGTGCAAATAAAATAATTCAATCAAAACGTTTGAAACGAGATGAAAAAACAGACAGTCTGAGTGAACTCTTTGGCGGTGGTCAACCATCACATGTACAGCTAATTGTTGAAGTATGTGAAGCATTATGGTACACAAAACATGCAATGAATTTTATATTATATACATTGAGTGGACAAGATTTTCGTCGAGAATTTATTAAACTATTTACACAATGTTTACCTAGTCGACCGCCGGTATTGAAAAAAATAATTCGACGAAATCCGAACCAAACTGAACCAACAGTTGATACAGCATTAATTGAAATACCAATAATAGCAAATGAGAATCATAGGGAAAAGAAGAGAGCAAATAATATGGCTGTAACAACGTCTATTGTATCTATTAGTTAAGAGAGAATCCATGAGAGCATCGAGGATGTCCCCAGCATACAAAGCACTCGATAAAATTATTTTTTTGATTTTATTAGCACATTCGACACTTCCATGTGTGAAACTAGTAACCTGAAAATTTTAGCTTCTAATATCGTTCCTATGAAAAGCTACATAAGGACGACTTTGAGCACTATCGGATTTTTTCGAGAAAAAAACAGTGAAAATTGTTCGATCCATTTATGTCTGTTTGTGCTTCAATAGATCATCCAAATCTTTCAATGAATAGACGTTAAAAGATAGTGGGTTTGTAGAACTTTTGATTCTGCACCAAAACCATAGAAACCTATTGAAAACAAGAGGGTATACTGGACTCTAAAAATGTCTAGCATTGCTTTTCATCTAGTGAATATCCTATTGAAAACCAATCCTGGAAGCTATCTATTGGTCATTCGTCCATGGAAATATTAGTCTCAGAGAAATTACAACATCATTCCGAAGATAATGCAAGAGATAATCCTTTCGAAAAAGAAAAAAAAATTTTCGACTTCCATATCTAACTAAGGGGAGTATAGAAATAACGGAATAACGAAAAATTTTGAAAGAATTTTTTTTTCTTATAATTAAATAGTAATTATTTCAAACAATAGAGGTTCAAAAGCTGATCACAATCATATACTCTAATCCTAACATAATTGATTATTATACGATAAAAATCAGTTCTCCATGCAATATCTGCAACACATTTAGCAAACAATTTAGTATGAGAATAGATTACTTATCGTCATATATAACGATAAATATTAGGATTAGAGTATATGATTGTGATCAGCTTTTGAACCTCTATTTATTGAAATAATTACTATTTAATTATAAGAAAATAAAATTCTTTCGAAATTTTTCGTTATTCCGTTATTTCTATACTTCCCTCTGGCAGATATCGAGGTCGAAAATTTTTGTTTCTTTTTCGAAAGGATTATCTCTGGCATTATCTTCGGAATGAAGTTGTAATTTCTCTGAGACTAATATTTCCATGGACGAATGAACAATAGATAGCTTCCAGGATTGGTTTTCAATAGGATATTCACTAGATGAAAAGCAATGCTAGACATTTTTAGAGCCCNGGATGGGTTTTCAATAGGATATTCACTAGATGAAAAGCAATGCTAGACATTTTTAGAGCCCAGTATACTCTCTTGTTTTCAATAGGTTTCTATGGTTTTGGTGCAGAATCAAAAGTTCTACAAACCCACTATCTTTTAACGCCTATTCATTGAAAGATTTGGATGATCTATTGAAGCACAAACAGACATAAATGGATCGAACAATTTTCACTGTATTTTTCTCGAAAAAATGCGATAGTGCTCAAAGTCGTCCTTATGTAGCTTTTCATAGGAATGATATCAAAGCTAAAATTTTCAGGTTACTAGTTTCACACATGGAAGTGTCGAATGCGCTAATAAAATCAAAAAAATAATTTTATCGAGTGTTTCCAATCCGTGATGGTTTTATGGACTCTCGCTTAAAAAGTGTCGGCATAAATAAATATTTCAATCTGTTTGAACATATATATTTATATATTTAGCACTGAACTATTGTTAATTCCTCTTTTTCTTTCTCAAAATAATAACAATGAAGTCTTATCTTTATTTATTAATAACCTGAGATCCAGAAAAAAACCATTTAACAGACTACAGAAACAAGACAAAAAGGGAAGGGTATCACAGTGTTGAAAAAGAATGGGGGGGGGGGGGGNCCCCCCCCCCCCCCCCCCCCCCCCCCCCCCCCCCCCCCCCCCCCCCCCCCCCCCCCCCCCCCCCCCCCCCCCCCCCGGAGCAAGCTTAAATTAATTGATAATAAAGAAAAAAATTGGCTAGTACGAAGTCATTCTCACTCAAGAAAGGACAAAGAAAAGAAAGAAAGAAATATTTGAAAGACAAATTAAAAGTATAAAGATAAATGAGCAACTTTCAAACATCAAGTTTATTTTTTTGTGTAGCTTCTTCATTGTTCTTGCTTTCAACTGTGTCAACTTCTTGATCGGGTTTAACACATACAATACACATATGAAAGAATGAAGCGATTATTATCATTGCTCCACCAATCACAAATGCTAGATCATATTTTTTAGTATAATCTTTAAGAAAACCTATAAAATAACAAAAAAAAAACAAGAAGAAATAATTTTATACAATAGCAATCATTTGATTACAGACCAGCAGCAGGAGGACCAATAATTGATGTTACACCACGAAATAAAAATAGAACACCAAATGCTGTTGTATATCGCTCAAGACCCACACAATCACAAATGACACTCGGTAATAAAGACATATGTGGTGCTAAAAGAAACAAATAATAGATCAATTATGTTATTCTATTTATCAATATTTTCATTACCAATAGCGAACCCGCATAGAGCAGCATAAACAGCACATGATGTAAAGTTGTATGTATAAGCAGCTAAAACTGTTAAAACACCAGCAGTAAATAAAAGTGCATTATGAACACGTAATGCACTTAAATGTGGTATCATAGCAATAGGTCCACCAGCAAATCGACCCAATGTATTAAAAGCTCCTAAAAATGTATTCAGGGCGTAAGTAATTTTGCTTTCAATTTTTTTCTTTTTTTCCGTTTACATACCGAAGATTGTTAATAAAAACGAAGCTTTTGTTAGATCAACTTTATGATCTTCAGATGCATATGAAACAAGACACATTATTGGTAAATAATAGCCAAGCATAGAAAATATATTTCCAATACAAATTAATAATAATTGTTTATTCTTTAATATTGAAAAGTCAGTCATTGTTCTAAGTATATCAGCAAATGCTTTCACTGCAGAATCTTTCTTTTGTTCTTCATCTACTAAAGCTGGAATATTTGTTACTGATGCTACATAGGGATTGCTATTATGTAATGATGTATGTGATAAATGATGAAGTTGAGATTTCGATCCAGTAAATAGAACATCTTTTTTATAGAACGGCCGAGAAGCATCTTCAGGATTGGCAACACCATGTGGAAGATGTCCACCGCTAGTAGCAGACACACGACTTGAAGATGATAATGATCGAACACGTAACGACCCAACGGTTGGACTTGACGATGTTCCAAGCGTGGCAACAGGAGGAATATCGCTACCTGATACAGCTGTTGAATTATTAATACGTGGTGATGCATTACCTGCTGATAATAATGGCTAGAAATAAGATTAAAAAAACGAAAATAATTATCTTGTAATTGATATCTATTTTAATACTGACAACATTCGTTTCGCCTGCTGCTTCTGAAGGTACAGTTTTCTGTTTTTCATCCTTCGAATTTTTCATATCAGAAATTCTATATCAATATAAATGGCATTAATCTTCTTATAAACGTTGAAAAATTTATCTTTCGAAAACTTACTCTGATTCAGGCTCACGTTTAATTAGTCTTTTTGTAGGTTGTAATGGTCGCATAATTGATCCGAATCCAATACATGTTAGCATGATTGCAGCAAATATCCTTATACCCGCTTGCCAACCATATATTTTCATCAAATAATTAGCTAGTGGACCAAACGATAGAGCACCAAGACCTGTACCTGCAGTTACCAAACCTAATAAATTCAATAAATAAATTTTAATTAAAATCTAAGAAGAAAAATATAAATTTTACCGTTAGCAATTGCTCGTTTTTTATCAAAATAAAACGATACCATTACTACCGATCTAAATTTCGAAAAACAAAAAATAAAAGGTTCAATCAAGTTATTTTGTCTACGACAATGAATGAACATACGGCAAATAAACCATGCCGAAAAAGACACCACCAAATATACCATAGATAATAATCATCGCTCCAACGTTAGGTGAAAAAGTCGATAATACCATACAAGCTGCTGCGCCAATACTACCAATAATAATAATTGGTCGGCATCCGTATCTATTTGCTAGACCCGATACAATCGGACCTGTGAAACGAAGATGAATGAAAACATTTTATGAAATAAAATGCGGATGTACTTGTGGTGAATTATACATACCCACTAATAAATAAACACCGCAAGGAACAGAACCAACCATTAGAATAACCATATCCGAACACCCAAAATGTTGTTGAAGATACACTTTCATCGTACCAAAAGCGAATAGAGTACCATCACATACAAGATTACATAACTGAATAGAGAAAAAATTACTATCGTATCACAAAATGAAATATCTTCTAAGAAAAGAAAAAACAAAACAATACCATTGCTGCAATTGCAATAACCCAACCGAATCCACCATCGGGTGGTTCTGTCACATATTCATATTCTTCTTCAAGATGAGAATCAGCAATTTTTTTCAATCGAACTTGTTCTTCTAATTGTTTTTTATCTAATTCTTGTTTCGATGCCATACTTTTAATGTATTATTATAACCTCAGGAAACTTCGATAAATTAAAATTTTCTTTTATAATTAGTTAAAACTAAAAAGTAAAAAAAAGGACGATGAATAGTGATGACTTATATATGAATATACGCATAGAGGCATATACGTATATATATAGATTAAATCGATTGAATGATGGTCAATGGTAGAAAAGAAATTATGTACAAAAAGAAGAAAAAAAATACGAGTATAAAATCGAATATAAAAAAACGGTATTGAGTAAATCCATTGAGCCATATCCTATTTAATCAATCAAGGCTAATGAAAGCAAAAATGAATAACGAGAACGGTGAAGGACACATAGAATGTAATATAATGACCTTCGTTCATCTTTATTCTACTCTTGCATAATATAAATATGAGTCCTTCTTTTTTGCCACCATGAAAAGACAAAAGAAATGTAAGAATAAGAAAAAGAAAAAGGAAAAGGATAGATAAGCGACTTCGAATACCAGTTGATATCAAGAATTTATATAAGTTTAAAGGACAAAGAGCATTTATATGCGTATTTTTGCTTCGGTTTTTATTGTTGCTGCAAAATCACGTACATCTTATTTTTCAGGATGAGGAAAAAAAGAAAGAAATTTCTCGATTTCACATTTTATAATATTTTTTTACAATGTATTTCTTTTTTCAGGGTAATGCTTCAAAGAAAAGGAGTAACATATGGTGATAATGTCGTAAAAAAACCTTGGAATATATGGAAATATAGTTGACAAAATAAAAACAGCGAATACCTAAGGTATCACTGTTAGAATTATTGAATAATATTTTAAGCTTTCGTTAGATGTGCCACGGATTAATAAAAATTTCATTACGAAATTGTGTTTTCGTTTTGTTTTCTTTTGTTTTCTGGAAATGGAGGCTCACATGATTCTTTTATTCCTAGAGAAATAAAGGTGCCTGCACTTATGTGCTGTCATCAAATACTCATTCTGAATTTATAGCACAAATATGAATACCCTAAAGTCAAGGCTCAATTTATACTTACGTATGTAGTCAATGACTTGGACACGAATGACGTGTCAGTTAAATACGACGATGATGTAAAAGACTAATCATACAATACAAAAGACAAACGCGCACTGATATGAAAGCATTTTCTATGTCTTGACTAAAGAAAATCACAGTCTATTCTGTATAATTTCTTTCTCTTAACTTTATCGATAACCGTTTGAACTTTCATTTCGTAATGTGTATTCCCTGATGTGTGTGCGCAACAGTGAGAAAATTCACTAAATAATAGAAGATATACGTTATTTCTTTCTGCTGTTCTACCATAAGTCAAAGAATACAGAATGTCTATAGCAAGAAAAAAGAATTATATAATAGGACTGGAGAAAGAAGAAAAAGAAAGATGATGCAATGAAATACTAGAACAAGGCCATATTCATCGTCTAATAATTATGGTAAAAAAAACTATAGAAAATGAGTTTTTCCCATCGAAATCAACAGAATGTAAATATTGCAATTTTGTATACAGTTAAATATAGTAACGGCGTACGTACACGTCAATCTAAGTACAGTGAAGTAGTATCCAGAAAAAAGTATAGACCGTGTTTCGTCTATCGAATTAATCCTTTCATTTTGAAATGCTTCTTTTGCCGTGCTTTACCGTTTTCTCTTTTTACTTTACATATCAACACGCTCTCTTTCCTGTTTCTTGCAAAAATTCCTTCCCTAGGCATTGAGACATAAAGTAAAAAGAAAAAAGTAAATGAAAGAAAGAAAGAAACAAAATATAACTCTGAGACTATTAGATTAGGAGAAAAGAAAAGAAAAATGAAATTTGAACACCAGGTATTAGTATAAACTGTATATATATATATGTATGTACAGAGAAAGACGTACAATTTCAATTCTTAATTAAGAATAGCCTTAGCAGAATGACATTGATATACAAAAGAAAATTCTTCTTTCTGTTCAAAGGTATTATACCAGAGAAGAAATATATCATTGTGATCTTCTATTCAAATCAAATATTTATTATAATTTAATTCTAAGCTTTCTTGAAGATGCTTTTTGCCAAGGTTTTTTGTTATAAATGCTCTTATTCAAACAGAAAAAGAAGAAAAAAATGATTTCTTCCGTGAAATTTATTACATGGTATATTTTGTATTCAATTTAGATCTTTTTTCTTCTGATCAAGTCATGCAATGATCAAGAAATTCGATAGTTTTTAACAAATATCTATAGATTTCGAAACCTCTTTTTTTTTATTGACATGCAAATCTAATCGCGAAACTAAAAAAATACGCAATAATCATCTGTTTATATTCAATAATTCATTTTTCTATATATAGATGTTTATCTTAAATTATTGATCTGATTAAAAATTGTGAAAGATCGTTTTTTTATGCATAGAATTTTAAAAGCTGTATCGATGACATTTTGTTATTGTAATCATTTTGTTTTTGTATGACTTAATAGAATATTGAATCGAGTTAGTAATTTATTTATTTTTTCTCTTCATTTGATTTCCCTAGCCGAATAAAAGGAATAGACAGATGTTTTTACTTTCAGTTAGAAACTGCCGTTATTTTTTTAGTTCAAAGATTGTTTGTACGAGTTTTAATTAAATTTTTAACAATAGAATATATGTCATATATTATATTTTTTATTCGTATTTGCTTCTTCTATGTTCTATGCAAGTATACATTTTTTTTAGTCTACTTCGATTATCATTCGCTATTTATGTATTAAAACAAGAAAATTTTTTTTTTTTATAGGCTATACTTGTTTGAAAAAGATAATATTATGATGATGTAGTATAGGCGTTAATGTCCTCTTCAGGCGCATCGGCTTTTTTATTTTTAGCCGATTCTTGTCTGTTCTGTTCGTCGTTATCAGTCGCTGCTGAAGATTGAATATCAAAATGATCATTCGTAGAAATAGTAGATGACGTGCCTTCAAACATTGCCGTTGTAGTATCTTCATCTAAATGATATAAAAATGAAGAAAAATGATTGAAGGACTTGAGAAGAAGGCGGATTAGAGAAAATATTCTTACTTAATGTTGAATTACTTTCCACAATGATGATTGTTGTAGCATTTGACAATGTCTCCATATGTTCTTGACTTTCTATTATAGTTGTTGGTTCGCTTTCTGTCGTCGTCGTCGTCGTCGTTGTCGTCATCATACTTGTAAATTGTTGACTAGTAAGTACTAGTGATGTTTCTTGATTAACTTCTGTTGTTTGGCTAGTAGTAGAACTAGTTGATTCTCGATTCGATATTGTTGTTTGAGCAGTAGTCGAACTAGCTGACTCTTCATTAACTATTGTACTCAATGGTGGATGAGTTTTCGTCGTTGGTGAATCAGGAGATGTATTTTCATTTTGTTTTGTACTCATTCCCGATGATGACATATGAACATTTTCAGTTGATAACATATGTAAATTATTACTTGTCAAAATGACAGTTATTTTTGGTAAATACTCATTTTCTTTTTGTTCATTCGTTATTGCTGTCCAATCTATTTTAATAAGAGTGTTGATAAATGAACGAAAATAAAGCATAATTATATACTTACTTTCTTGATTTTTGAAAAGTGTTCGACTATTATTTGCTTTTACTGAGAAATCTTTTTCAGCAGTTCGTGATATAATACCATTAAGTGTATTACGAGAGTCTAAAATACATAAGAAAAGAGCTCGTTCATTATTGTATTAAACTTTGAACAATTTATTTTTCGGCAAAACTGACACTCAATCGTATTACTTAACCGTTAGAATTTTTATCTTCATGGATGGATGTGTGACTATAAAAATTTTTATGCGCTAAAATTTTATGGTTTTGATTGTATAAAATAAAATAAAAATGTATGTCAAGTTTAGGTAATAAATATAACATGAGAAAGTAAAAACAAAGTCGTTATTTTAAGTCTCTGTTAACATTTATCATTTGATTTAGTTGAATTATAAAAGAAAATAACTTACGTGCAACAGCCACTGTAAGTATAACAATGCCGATAGCAACAAGACCAAGAGTTATCATTAATGCTGCAGCTTTACATGCGCGTGACAATCGTTCTTTAGGTGTATTCTAATAATATAAATGGTATTTCTTTTGATTTCTTTTGATGAGCTCGACAATTAAAAGAAACTTTTCTTTACCTTTGAAATTACTACATGATTTGTTGCTATAATATCATTCAAAGCCGGATTGCTTAGATCACTTCGATTTTCTGTTTCAATACGGACTAATGATTTTTTATACATTTATATAAGTATGTATTCAAAAGTAGAAGAAGAAGTAGTAGTAGTAGTAGTAGTAGTAGTAAGAAGAAGAAGAAGAATAATCGCTGATGATCAGATTTGTGAGTTTGAAAAGAAATGAAATATGGATGAAAATGAATGTGGGACGATATCCGATGTGTGCATTTGTATGTACACCATCGAATGCTAGGTAACCACATGTACAAAGGAAAAGAGAGAGAAGGAGACAGAAAGGACATTTATGTAAGTTCTCTCTTGCCGTTGTTCTATGGTAGGACACATACGTATGCATAATTGTTGGTCGTTCGATTGTTCAATCATTTTTTGTGAATTCCATCATTCGCATATACCGTTCACTTTTACCGGGAATAAAAAAAAAAGATGAAGTGAATTAAGTGAAGTGCAGCACAGCGATGCAGTCAAGATAACTGTATGAGTCCACTTGTTGACTGTTGAGAGCAACGGACGATAGGACAATTTGTTATATATATATATATTCATTCGTTGTATATGTGAATTCTTTATAGTTCTTCTTATAGAAGACACTCGCATAAAGTATATATCGTGTTGTTCAGTTGGAGACACGCACAGAAAGATACGATTCACAAATTCCTACGATACGAAGACCTATAATCACATGAATAGGAATATAAATTTTATACTCTTGTGCAACATATGAATATTATCAAGAATATGAAATTTCAAAAATGAAATATGAAGAAGTAACAATGCAAAATCAATCATTATCGATCAATTCGAGTTCTTCTTTAGTTTTATCATATAAAAATTTTCTATGTAAATTTATGGCAATTAATCTATCGTTTTTCTTATGACCATTCATTTTTTTCTGATATTCATCGATGATGAGAAAAAAAACATACTACGATCTAGAAAACAATCATGTTTGATTCCTTTTTTGAGTTTATCTATTCATCGTTTATTTATGCATTCTGAACTCGGGTGAATACTCATACACATGTGAAATATGAACCATTGCATAGAGAACATTTACTATGCATGCATCCATTAATTGAACAAAAAACTCCAAATAACTTGAAACAAATTATGCATTGGCTTTTATGATTAGTGCCTACACAAAAAGAAAATGCAGACGAAGATGATGAAGAAGAGAAACAGGCAAGAGAACTTTTTTTTCTACTATTCACTATAATGTGAATGCATCTAAATCGTTCTCTTTTTGTTTCGTATGAAAGCCATAGCTATGGATCATTTTGCATTACTCGACAATGTTTCTATCATATTTTTGTTATGCGCAGATGATTGAGCTATATACTATATATACTTTCCTCGTGCTGAGTTCTACTCTGAATGAATCTAAGATACATTAGTCGTCATTTCTCTACGCAACAAAAGCACAGTAGTGTCTCTGCCATTATTCTTTTCTTGTCCTGCTGAATACCTCTTATGTACGGGTAATTGCAAATTACTTGAGCACGACACAATAAATGAAATAGTATTGTAGTTTTTACACTCATCTTTAATAGCTAATAGACTTTTTCTTTCTTTCATCAATTAAATCATGGATATTGCCGTAGAAAATCTAGACACAATCTTCTTGTTCTCGTTTCTTTGTGATTTTTTCTTCTATGTAGCTTTTCAATTTTATTAGAATACTTCTTCTTCCTTACACGCCCATTATCGATCGAATGTGATAGAAACGAATAGAAATGGAACGGATAATGGTAATTGCATTCCTCCGAGAGAACTATCAAAACGTTTCATTGAGTAACTGACAAGATTATTTTGATCTTCATTGAAATATCCAAGTTCTATATACTTTGGATATGTAAGTATTTAAAAAAAACGACAGAAACAATAGCAAGCAAAAAAAGAAAGAAACGAACAAAAAAGATTTTCTCTTTCCTTGTACTCGCGTACTAGGTTTTACTGTAAACATTTTCAATATAGTGATCATGACAAGAGAAAAAGGAAGAGAAAATTCATGCTACTACCCTTTAATATTGCCGGTTCAGTCGTACTACATGAAAATATGCTATGCATTTTAAAAAGAAAAAAAAAAGAAAATCTGATCTTCTATCGACATATTTTATTTGCATATTCTTCTAGATTGTTTCGATGTAATAATAGATGTTGAATAAAAATTTTTTCTTCTTTTTCCAATGTGTTTTCGTGCATATTGAAATATGAATAGAATGGCAGGTAGCTGTGAGTACTACAATCAAGAGTATTTAATCGGGATAGAATAGCACATCTACTTTATATTTTTTTCTTCTTAGCTCGAGGGTATATTCTTATGCATGGATGAATGTAGGTGGAAAAAAAGACTATGAATATTGAAATCGTCATTTCTTGTTGTCTTCATGGCGGATGATGATGGTAATAGTTTCACGCGTTCTTTTTCTTCTTTCTTTTTTTCACCCTTTTTCCTCGGCTTCTTCTTCGTCTTCTTCTTCTTCTTCTTCTTCTTCTCCTCCTCCTCCTTCTTCTTATCTGTCAAAACAATAGCAGTAGGCTTACATAGACCTCATTACTGTGAAGAGAGAGAGAGAGAGAGAGAGAGAGAGAGAGTAAAAGAAAATCACTATGCAATGTGCGCTTTCATCCACATCTACATGATTACAAGATTTTACCTGCTCTCATGACTACGTATAATAATAATAATAACTACGTATAAAATAATATCAAGAAACTATCTTTTGCCATAATTCTTCTATGCGCAGTTTAGATCTACTGTAAGTTTGTTTTATTTAGTGTTGTTCTTCTTCTTCTTCAAATTATACAAGTAATAAATGCGATGCTATCATGCTCATAACACACTATGATCTATATATTGGCATTGGCATTGGTGCTGTATCAGTTATTATCATAATTCTTATTGCAACAATCATTTTTTGTAAATGTTGCGTGCCTTCGTCAAGTCATCGTTATTTCGGTCGACCTGTAAGTCATTATGCGGCTATTAATAATATCGATGCGAAAACATATTTCAAACCTCCACAACATCTCGTGAGTAATTCTAACTGATTATATATTTGTTTATCAATCATAATGTGCCAAGTTTTCGACTATGCTTAATTTTAATCAGACAAGTAAAACACAAAACAAAAGAGTTAGCAAAAATTTATATACGGAAACACAAAAATTTCTTGTCTATACTAAAAAAAAATAAAAATCATTTGAAAATTAATTGATTTCGTCTAAAAATAGATTTAATATCGTTCGTATGATTCTTTAGATTTATGCGCCTATTGTTCATCGTATTCCACAACCACCAGTTATTACTCAAGAAATTTCTTCAACTCAATCAGGTCGAACATCAGTTGCATCAGGCGGTCGCCTATCAATTTTATCAGAAAAATTATCTCGTCTATCAATAAGTTCAAATCAATCGTGTCGCCCATCTGTGGCATCAGATAGTGTACTTTTACAAAAGAAATGTGACAATGGCCGTCTTTCGCATTCCTATGATGATTCTAATACAGAAGCGGTTACAGCACATTATTTAGGCAGACGAACATCTAAAGCACCGCGTTTATCAATAGCTGCCGTTGAGGCACATGCAGTCGGCCAGAGTTCATCACCAGGTGGAGCTAATTCAAAAAATATTCGATTTCAATTATTTCCTCGTACATCAGATATTGTTGAACAATCGATTTCATGTGTTGATCCATCATCCACGACGGCATCACAGCCAACATCACAGCTATCATCACCATCACCACCACCGCCACCACAATCAGCAATAACAACAGCAACAAATATTACCGAAGAACAAGTATTATCAACGAAACGACAATTAACAAAAGCAAATTCATCGCAAACTGGAAATACAGGTCGTCGTCAATCATTACTTCGATCACCATCATCTAAGTATACCATACCAAAATTCCCTATCGTTGGAAAACAATTAGGCAATGTTACACGAGGTTCTACTGCTTTACCAGAACAAGGACTTCTCTCGCCTCCTGCTCTTCCCCAAACATCATCTCTTTTTATTCCTAATAAGACATTACGTGGTGCATTAGGCGCTATTATGCCTGATCTATACTTTGTTGGCGCGGGATGTGGTAGAAATAGCACTTGCAGCATTACGGGTGCCAATATTGGCACTGTATTTAATGAACGAACAAATGAAGAATTATCCACTGTAGATGAAAGCATACATCGATTACATATTCGAATTATGTATGATGATCATCGAAATGATCTCATTGTCAATTTGATTGAAGGTAAACATATATGCATACATTGAAAATAAATAGAGTGAACCATGTTATTATTATTTTTTTCCTCCTAGCTCAATGTTTACCATTTGAATGTGTAGAATATGCTAATCCTTATGTAAAAATTCATCTTCGACCTCCAGTCGATCAAAAATTACGGCAAACATCCGTAAAACCACAAACAATAAATCCTGTTTGGAATGAATATTTTAAATTCGGTGTTGCCAATGAAACATTATATAGAACAACAAAGACTTTATATTTTTATATCTATAGTTATGCTCATTCAAGTCGACCTGAATGTGTTGGTGAAACACAAATACGTTTAACACCACAGACAATTCATGGTCGAGATCTATGGTGTACTATTAATAAACAACGAGCAGTAAGAAAAGAAAACTTATGTTTGTTTCTTTTGTTTTCTTATTAAAGTGATGCTCGTTCGCAAAACTAATTTCATAGAAACATTTATTATATATCTGAATAAAATTCTATTTGCGTGACATCAATCATGTTTCGATAATTTATTTTTCTCTGTCGTAGGAAGATGAATATCTCGGTGAATTATTAGTGTCATTAACATATTTAGCACAAGCCGAACGGCTTAATGTTGGGATAATTGAAGCACGTAATTTGAAGGCTCTTTCAATGCATCTTGAAGCTGGTTGGCTACCGACTTTTTCTTTGTTATTATGTATAATTATTTGCTTCGTTTAATTTTCTTAGATCCAGTGGTTCGTTTAACATTGCAATTAGGCCCAACTGATAAAGTGAAGAGGAAGAAAACAAGTGTCAAACGTAATACATTGAGCCCAAAATGGAATGAAGAATTGTCTTTTAACATTCCTGGTGTCTCATTAGCTGAATCATATCTGGAAATAGGCGTTTATCATCATGATCTTATTGCGCCAGATGAACCATTAGGATTTTTACGTTTTGAAAATACAACACCCATTAGTAATGCTAATATTGCACAACATAGTGAAATAATTCATTGGACTGAAGTTATCAATGGTGGACAACGAGCTGCTTGTTGGCATCTATTAAGAAAAGCTGCAAGAATCGTGCCACCACCACCACCAACGCCATCATCAGTAGTGCCTTCTCCTAGTCATACTAATACTAATACTAATACTAATAATACTAAAAGCGCACAGCCATTATTACAATCTAAAAATGTTACAAATATCACTAAATAAATCAACTTATGAATGCTTTCGTACGAATATGAAATCTAATTTTCTTTCCTGTAGAGTAAATATCTTACGAAACATAAATCATGGCTGCTATTCTATTGTACAAATTAACTTTTTTTGCTTAATGTTGTATTTGTATTTTGTCATTGAAAATTCTCGGTGTTATCCAAATATATGAAGATTTTTCTTTTAGAAACTAAGCATTTTATTTTATATTTATTTTAAACTACTTGATAATCTATTGAAAAATCATAAAATTTCTAGTAAAATACTATTAGTAGTAGTGAGAAAATTCGAAAATAATAAATCTATTTTTTAGCATCTTTCACAGAATACTTTCACAGAATATAGACGAATTAACGTGTCTAAGCCACAATCGATTTTGTTTAATCGAGCTCGTTAGATCATGTTTAGTTGAGAATGTGTTATAGAAAGACAAATGTTAAGAATTTTGATGCAAAACCCGACCAGCTATAATGTTCTTTTCCAAAAAAGGACAAGGCCTAAAAGCCAACAGCTATCAAGCAATGATCTTTTTCTAGGTTGATTGTTTCTGAACTGACTCGTCTGATTGTATTGAAATCAAGGGGGAAAGTGTAGACCCCTAGCACTAAATTTTACTACAAGGTGCCGAAGATGCAGAACGGGTGCTAGAGATGCCGAAACATGCTAAATATGTTAGTAGGCGTGGAAAAGGAACAGTAACATAAAGGAGTGGTGTACGACAGGACGACAATATTTTCTGTTAAACTGATTGTTTTCCTTCAATCTTGGCGAATACACTAATTGCACAATCAAAAAAGAGGTGTGTCAAATTAGCATAGCTGCGTAAGTACGGGTACAACTTTTACTGGACAATTTACATAGAGACTGAAAGCTGCGCTAGTGACACAGAGGATACACTTTTACTGTCATGTACTGGGTTGTACTATCACCTCCTCCCCCAAAAACCTAGAATCCTAGAATTCATGTACTCGCATGTACTCACATGTACTCGTATGTACTGGCATGTACTTGTATGTACTAGGTTGTACCACCCAGTACATGAATTCTAGAACTCTAGGTANGCTCCTGCGAATGACGTACTTTCGACCTGAAATTCTTCCCATATATAGGTTTCATGGTTCATAGAAGATCCTAAAAGTTTCAACTCGAACAAATGTTTTCTTCTTAAAATATTGAATTTTCAAAAAAAAACTGAATTTTCTGACCGTGCCGTGAAATGAGCATTTCTTGCGCATTCATTATCTTGAGAAGGAAACATCCATTTGCGCTGAAAATTTTAGAATACTCTGAGGATCATGAGACTTACACATAGAAAAAAATGCAGACGGAAATTCCATCATTCACGTTTTGAATTTTTCGATTTTTGAATTTTCAAAATCCCAAATCCGTCTTTTCTCCCTTGGGAATACCATCGAGGATCAAAAAAATGTTTTGTTCTGATTTTAGTGCAAGTAGTTATATTTCGATAAAGTTAGCTTCCCTAATCACAATTATCATCTTAGATTTTAAAATTCATTGGATACTAGGAAAGATCTGAAGCACTCTCGGAAAGACTTAAGAACAGCTATTGGCCCAAAGGTCCATGAATATTCGATTTATATTGTTTGAAAATAGGCCCCTTCGAGACAGAATATTTTTGTATATCAGAGTATATGAGAACGACTTAGATATTCAAGTTTTGTTTTATGGATAAATACTAAATACCGCCCCGATTGCGTCATGATGTTAGGAATAATGCTTTTCTCAATTTTATGAAGTGTAGCTCTTCGAGGTTTACCAGAAAGATTTTCTTACCGAATACGTAATTGAATGTGTTCTTTCTAATAAAACTGTTTTCATTAAAACTCGTTATAATATGAAGCATTTTTGCTGCAATGTTACTCTGGGAGCCGGATTTCTGTCATTTGTGACCGATATTCGATAGTTTCAAACAGATTAATTCTCATTTGACAGAGTATAAATATTATATTTGCTTTAAGCACAAAATCTATTTCGGTATAATTATTTCTACAGCTTTTGCTTTCGGCCAGATTTTCATCCCTGGTCCCCGTCATGGATAACGAAAGAATAAACTTACTCCAAGCGCCATGCGGGCAATGTTAAAAGTTTCCAAACTTTGCGAATGATGTTTGAGATAAAAATAGATCAATTAATAATCAATCAAATAGATGTTTTGAATAAAATATTTTGTTTTCATATGATCCTGAAGGAGACCAGACGCAAAAATCTGACCGAAAACAAAAATTGTAGAAGTAATTCGATCCACTCAGATTTTGTGCTTAAAACAAATAAAATATTTATATTCAATCTCATAGGAATTATTCTGTTTGAAACTATCAAGTATCAGCCAAGCAATGACAGAAAGTCGATTCCAACGCTAGCATTGGAGCGAAAACGCTTTCCCAGGTGAAAGAAAACGGTCCGTAAACAGCCTTAAACGTCGTAATAACGGTGTAAAACATTAAAAAACGCGCCGTAATCCGTCAGGCCAGATTACGATGTCAAAACCGGAGAAAAACGATGGCTGTTTTCTATTAAAAAAACGGCCCTCAAAACGAGCTGACGGATTCCGGCGAAATAAGGTGAAAACGACGCCTTATTTCACCGTTTTCTAGCCGTTTCTTGTCTTTTAAGGCGCCGTTTCAGACGGTCGGAAGATTCTCCTGGGTTACATTACATCGAGTTTTAGGTTGAAAACTCTTTCATTAGAAAGAGCACATTTAATTACGTATCCGATAAGAAAATCTTACTGGTACACCTCGAAAAACCACATTTTATACGATTGAGAAAAGCAGCCCATGTAATAAAAACCGCATGAAAATCGGCCGTTAACCGCGGTTTTGCCGGTCCGGTTACCGACTCCCATTACCGCAGAACGGATAAATACCGCGGTTTACCGCAAAAATTGATCCTGTATTCACAACATGGGAGTGTTTGTAACTGTATGACCCGATCGGGGTGGTATTTGGAATTTGCCCAGAGAAGAAAGATTGAATATTTAAATCGTTCTTATATATTCTGATAGAAAAAAAAACATTGTGCATCGAACGGATCTATTTTCAAACAGTATAAATCGAATATTTATGGATCTTTAGATCAGTAACTGTTTTTTAGGGCTCCGAGAGAGTGCTACATATCTTTCTTAGTATTCGATGAAGTTCAAAGCTGAGACAATACTTGTAAATCGGAAAGCTTAGCTTTATAGAAATATAAATGTCTATATTAAAACCAGAACAAAAAAAGGTTTTTCGACCCTTGACGGGGATTCCAGGTGTTAAAAATTGATTTTTCATGAAATACACAATAAAATTGTGGAATATATAATCAGAAGTCAATGATGATTTTCAAGGTAATAAAATTATGTGCAGGTTTTTTTTTATCAGCAAGAAGAATGCCATTTCGTACAATGTTTTTTTGAAACCTGAAAGCAAGCAGAAGCTATACAAATGAAATGGTGATAAAATGGAAAATAAACTTTTGAAAAATAATCAGAGCTCAGTGTTAGTTCTTGCACCAATAAAAGAAGGATCAAACGTTTTGGTATACCATTTCGCAATTTGATATACGGTTACTTTCGAAGGATGTTTTTATTTTTCTGTTGGCTTTTTTTATTCTGAAATAAATCTCACTCAGATTCTGTGAATAATTCAAGAAAAAATTCACCTCTACTATTGAAAATGAAAGTAGTGTTCCCGATGCATTTCCATACGACTGAAGTAAATCTCACTATGGAAAAGGTGCTGCGAGTGCTGAGAAGGCACTGGGGGTTCCAAACCTGCACTTTTCCACTTGGTTGAAACGCTTCTAGAATCTATATAAGTAAAAGTTCTATTCAGCTGGAAATATTATGTGGATCTGACAAAAAAAAGATAATAGCCAATATTTCAGGCTGTTAGACACTCGTCAATGAAGACCAATGTCACATTAAACTTGTTATTGCGTCTGGAAATAATAAAGACGTGTCCTGAATAGAATATTCAGCCTATTTTTTGATCTGCTCAAAAGTTCTTTATTAGTCTAATTTTCTACAGTTTATAGATTTTTATATAGAAATTATTGTTGGACTTTCTAATATAGACTAGGATAATGTTACCTGGCACTTCAACAACCTAGCTGTATCCTAGACGTAATTCTTAGCCGGAGATACTTATACGTAATGATTAATCAAGTAGAAAATACTAAGTAAAAACATCACAGCTGTGAGACTTATCTGTCTATGCTTTCCATTTATAGCTGGTAGTCAATATCTTAAATCAACAAATTAGAAGTTGCGCAGCCAAAACGAATATCCTCATTAGCACTTGGAGTCCATTACCTTTCAGAATAATGCACATACATTTGTTGATTAAAATAGTCAGTGAATCAATAGTTCTGAATCTTCGAAATTCCAATGTTAGAAAGATTAACAATGTTAAGAACTCAATGATAATGCATTTGACAGAATCCTGTAGAAAACGTATGTGTTACTAAGTATCTGTTACAAAGCTATTATGGTAGTCAATGAAACAAATCACATTAATTGTTGTCGTCAAATCTATGATGATATAGGGTTTGTCAACTAACTTTTGACTAAGATATCGTTTTACTTTAACATACCATAACTAGACATGGGCGATTACGATTACGATTCCGATTCTTAAAAAAATTAAACTTGGCGATTCCGATACGATTCTAAAAGATATTAAAGCCGATTCCAGTATGATTCTGATTCCAAAAAAAGCTGACTTTACCCATGTCTAGTCAGAAAAATAAATTATATCTTGTTTACATTGTACAGTGTTGTTTCATTCACTTTCGTGCAAAACAAATAATATACTATAATAAATTCAAAAATAACGTCACTAAAAAGTACTTTAATATATCTGTACAGAAAGAAAAAACAATCTTTGTGGGTCTGTAAAATGACGATTCCGATCCTTAAAAGAATTAAACTTGGCGATTCCGATACGATTCCAAAAGGCATGCAGCCGAATCCGATACGATTCTAAAATATATTAAAGCCGATTCCAGTACGATTCCGATTCCAAAAAAAGCTGACTTTGCCCATGTCTAACCATAACTACTGAGATTTGATTTCAATTTTTGTGTATCAATTCGATTTAGAGATTAAAGGCTACCATGTTAGTCTCTTATTGTTTTCGAAATAGAATTACGACGCTAGAGTGCTACTTCTTCTTT